AAAGATGCCGTTACATAAGAGCTTTTGTCTTATTCTTGTCTTCATATTTGGCCTTCAAACATTCAGTCAGTGTTTCACAGACTTGGAGCAAATAAAATTGTGGTTCAATCTTCTATATAAAAATACATTCAAGTATCTTCATACAATTTTTTCTTTGTTTGGGTTCTTGTTAAAAAAAAGAGGCACAGGAGCAGAAACACAGAATTTCAAATAGGACAGAAGCTTTGTTTTCAGGGGTATTTTTTGAATCTGCATTATTCAGGATAGGGGCTGAAATACGGTAAATCAAAATCTAATCCTAAGTTCTCTTCAAGTTTGGCTTTTCATCGCCACAACGTTGGCAACCATATTTTTAGGAGAGAGTAGAGAAGGAGATTGGTCAACAACAACTATTGAAGCTAGAAAACACTTGTGGTTAATTCATTAGCTGCTGAAAAAAACACTAGCCTCCTGTTCCCATCAGTGTTGGAGTCTGTCTGTCGGCTAAGAAATGTTCATTTCTTGGACCGAATGAGCTATGAATGCCAGAAGAATGAAGAGGATCCACTTGCTGTGGCCAAATCTCTGGTGAGAGAGCATCTGGTGACTGACACTTAAAAGAGCAATCTTCTGTTATTACCCAAGGGAAAAGACAAGAATATTGACGACTATGTACCAGAATAGACCAGACGACATGGCTATTTAATTATCAGTACAATACCACTAGAGATTGACACTGTGCGCTCAGACCTTTTAGAAAATCATTCAGCACAATAAACCACATAAGAAGTCGAATTGTTTTTCCGGTTTCTGCAAAAAGGATTTTTTTTTTTTAGGCCACAAGTAGGGCTTTATAACACGAGGTCTGCTGGGGATTATTTAGCCTCAAGTTGAGACTTCTGCAACTGCAGCTGTAGCTTGGGTTGAATTAAAGCCTGTGATTGATGAGTGACAGGAAGGGAACATGTTTTCCATCCAGTTTGCCAGGCTTGTATATCTCGCAGTCAGAGGCATTTTAGCAGAATTCAAATAAAAGAGATAAAGAAAATGAAAGTTAGACATACATCAGCGTCTGTGTGTGTGTGTGTGTGTGCTAGTGCACCACAAAAATGATCCACAGGGGACATATGGCTAATTGTTACTGGGCCAGTATTGTTCCCTTTAGTGCCAGTATCAGCTGTGACAAATGTGCTGTTAATGACTCAATGGAACAGCATGTATTATTTATGAAACAGACATGCAGAAACAGCAGCGAGACTGTGAGTGTTAAATAAGATTTAGAAACTTCTGAATATTTATACAGTCACTCTGTTACGTTTTTCATTCAACATCAGGAACCATCTTCCATGTTAGCTCGATGAAGCCTTTTCCAGCGCTTCATGAATCTGTTTCAAACTACAGCTGTCATTTCTCTGGGGCCTGTTCTACGAAGCAGGATTACTGCTTAGTGAGGTAACTTAGAGGGTACGTCCGGGGTTTCCTGTTCTACGACGCTGGTTCACTTCTTAGCGAGGCGAGTCTCCATGGCAACGTACGCTGAACGGCTAACCTGCTCCGGGGCAGAACTCACCGAGTATAAAAACCCCGCCCACTGACCAATGGGCTCTCTCAAAAAATGGCTTGTCCGTTCTTGGAGGGTCATATAGACCTCGGTGCTCGCACTGTCTGAGGAGCACTCCGGTGGGCGAGAGTTTTCAGGGACCGCTCGTTTGTAAAGTACGCTGTCTTTCGCTCTCCAGCTTGCTCTGATGCTCCAGATTGGTCCATGTCCGCGATCGGTCAGATGTGGCGGGCTCCGCCTTACATGCGTGCACACGCTCATAGCAAAGCTGGATCCACTTATGAGGTTGATAACCAGCGTCGTAAGACCGTTTAGCGAGACCGCTGGCTACCACACTAAGTTGAGCAAGGTAGCTCCAAGGCTACCTCGCTAGGTCGAACTTGCTTCGTAGACTAAGCCCCTGATCTTACAGGGTCGATCTTACCTGTTAATGTTGAAGTCAGTCACAAAAACTCTAGTTGGGTCTCCTTCACGATACATTTGGAAATTTACATATACAGTAAAAAGCCCTGGTACTAAAAATCTACTCCAGATTCATGAACGTAATAGAGAATGTGTGAGTTCATATAAGGAGGTTTGAATATGTTTTTCTTGTAGGCCAGAAGGCATGAGGCAGAGAAAGAAGGGGAATAACTTTTCCGATGCTGAGTTAGAATTAACTTTGATTAAAGTGGAATTTGATAGGAATGTTTATATTCACCTGTAAACATCAGAACATTGTTGGTGTTCTTCAGAACAGTCCAAGTCCTTTTTGGCTTCTGTTGCGTGTGGTCAAAAGCCACGGTTTCATTTGATAACCCTATTTCCGATGGAAAGATTAGAGCTCCGATAAAACGTGTGGATCCCTGAGGTGAAGAAAAAAAAAAATAGCTGCTTGCAAAGCCGAGGTTATGGAGTACAATCTCTGAAAAGATTGCAGATGTGCTCGCATGAATCTACACATGGCTTTTTTCATGATCTAACACCAGGAGGGCTGAGTACACACACGTAATTATGTAAACAGGAAATATTATTTTCAATAAATCAGCCGTCTTCAACTGCTTCATTCTTCACATGAGTACAACACGCACTGTCAGGTAGAGTGAAGCTGTTGTGCCTCCCACCAGTCTGCCAAGCCACAGCATGAAGCAACACACACCGCACAAACATGAACAACATTTCTGTGATTTATTTGGTCGTTGACTTTATTGAAAACATCCCATTTCACATTTTAAATTATGTCTGAAGCTCAAACCTGCTTATTGCTGATAAGAAAATGTGTTGTATAGCCTACGTGTTTTAAGGGTACCTGTCTATTATGAACAACAGCTCATTATATGAATTTAAATAGTGATTTATGATAATATCAGGGGATATTTAGGTTAATTCTACATTTACACAAACTCTATGAGCAGTCAGAAGCAGGTGTAGGTTTTGTTAGTGGCTATAAATAACTCTGAGCAACTCAAATACTGATCCATAAATTCCCTTCTTTAAACAGCTCATTCATCAATGAAACCCACTGCTTTTATATCAAGTTTATACCTTCTTTTTAAAATCTAGCTTGTAAAAAATAAGTGATAAAATTCATTTGAAACCTATTTTATTCATAATTTTGTCCCAGTACAGCTTTTATCTCATCAGACGTGCCGTTCAGAGAGAGATTCAGATTCATAGACAAATACAATGAATGTTTTTTTTTATGAATGGGGATGTAATGGTATGTTGTGAGTCAGCTAAAAATCAATACATTTCACAGATGGTGCAGATCTGTGAAATGAAAAAGAATAACTCCACCGTCTCGCCTTCGACTTCTGTTGTTCCACATCATTAAGTGTCTTACAGATGCAGTAGGTGAAGATCTGGTGAGGAGAAATGGAGATATCATAAACAACATAAAAGCCTGGGCCATGCATTTGAAACACGGGAACAAAGCTGTAGTAATTTAAAATAAAAGCATCACAAAAACAGTTTTATGAGGCGTTTCCTCTCTGAGCCTTCAGCACGTACTGGGTTACATACACCCGGAGAATACATCGTTTTGTGAGCCTTTTTAGTCAGAACCTTTTGTCAAACCTGTCAGCATCACGGCAGTTTAGTTCACGGCCTTGCGATGAACACCTTGTATTTGTTAGATTCTTTGGTATAATGGTCTGGGTGTCAAGTAGAAACTGTTGGAAAAAGATGAAAAGGGTAGACAAGGGTGAAGGGCAAAAGAGGATCCTGCAGAGGTGTTGAAACTTTGAAACGTGAAATTGAAAGAAGAAAAAAACATAGACTGTATATACTACGAACAACTTGGCTCCGCCTTCTGTCATTATACGAATTTGAAGCCGAATTGCTCTTGATTTTTTCCACTTCCTGGAAACACCACTTACGCAGTAGCGTTGGAAGCATTTGGCGGGAGAGTCGCTGTGATGACCTTATATTCAAACAGCCTATCCCCCCGGATGAGCTACGAAATCTTCGTACCCATAGGCTGAATCAAGTGTCAATCATAGAAAACATGAACCCCCAAAAGAGGACTTGAGCACAAACCAGTCTAACAAAAACTAAATGTCAACATCCCCTCTGAGCATTTTTTGGTCTAAAAGAGGTCTAATAGACGTCTACATGTAGTCTAGATGGCTGGTCTAAAATCAGGCTACCACAGGTCTAAAAATAAAAGTTTTTTTAGACGTTTAAATTTAGACCAAATTTGAACCAAGTCTAAATCTGGGCTATATCTTTACTACACTGTATTTTGCTCAACGACTATCATTATTATTTTGTTTTAGTACTTGGAGATCAGTTATGCAACTCACAGTTGCTTTTTGAGTTAAATAGTTATCGAATAACGGGTTAAAGTGCAACGTCTAAATTCCGCTAAAAATATACAGAATCTAGACGGTTGAAATTAGGTCTAAAAACTGCTCAGTGAGTCGCAACCAGGGGGGAGAAAAATTTATATACTGTGTAATTAATTTCTGAAGTTTGTCCACAGCTCCATAGGGATTGCTGGAGGAGGCGGGGTTTATGACCTATACTGCAGCCCGTCACCAGAGGGTGCTGTTCTCACGAGGGCTTCACCCAGCGAAGAGGCAGACGGCGTCCATTCTATATACAGTCTATGGGAAAAACAGATGATGTTTTTAACAACTGCAGACTGTTTGGATCTCCAAAATACCTGTTGGCTGTGTGAACATTTTTATTCTGACTGAAAGAATATAAATCCAAAGTTGTTCCATTGATTGTATGACGGTTCTTCATGGCGCTACATTGTGCAGTCCTTCAGTGGGCATTCATTTTTCATAATACTACTTCATAACCTACACGGGTGGTTGACACATCACTCACGCCAATGGGGCTCTACTCGCCCAGACGATTTTTTCTGCACTTTCCCCGATTATATCAGAATGGGCACAAACATAACCAACACTGTCCAAACAGAGATGAGAGGTCAAACAAGGAGAAAGGAAACAAGCAGAGGCTATTATTGGAGCGCCAGAGGGAGACGTCAGTCAGTTACACAAACATTTATTGAGGGATTATACAGTATGCCTCAGTACGCTTGTGCACGGTACAGTCATAGCTGCCTGCTCCATACACTCACATGAACAAACACACAACCCGCCCACACACACACACACCGCATCACTCAAGAGGATGGATCCTGACAAGCATATCTTTAGCCTCTTAACTCTGCAGAAATCTGCTAATCAGTGGAAATGAAGGCTTGATTAGAAAATAACGAACCTAAACTTGTTCAAATTGTTCGATACGCTTTAGATCCCTGCAGGCGCGATGAGAAATTTCCTGACTTTTAGTCCACATTATGTAACCGGCTCATAAGGGATCCTGCAGCCACAGCCTCTCTGATACCTCTCCGTTCTGTTGAGTCGAGTGTGCCCGGTCCAATCCAGGCTCAGGGGCAGCGCCGCCTTTGGTTTCGCCGGCTCTTTTGGGTGCCAGAATAAAAAAGGAAGAAAAAAAAAAGTGATGGGTGCTTTTCAAGTGGTCAAGATAAAAACATAACCTCCTCCTGGCTTCCATGTCTGCAGCTTCAGTAGCGTTTTCTCCAAAGAAGCTCTGTTCAGACTCGGAGGCTTTGTCAGGATACAGGAGGATTCTGCTTAGAGGTGAGAGAGGAAGTCAAGAAATGCCCAATTCCAGCCCTAAAAATGTGACAATTTTCTCTTTTTGTCTGTTGTATTCTACAGTAAAATTAAAACACCTGGTTTTAGAAGTGTTCGATTCGATTTCAAGGCATCCCCTTGGGGTGTGGAAAATTATGTTGGGCAATTTTATGGGCAATTTCACCGACTAAACAATCAAGGTAATTGTGAAATAAAAACATTGCCAAGGCCACATGAAAATGATGATTAGAAAATTACAGTATTGCTCCTCTTACCTTTTCCCCATCATCACACTCCTCTTTTTAGATTATTTTTTTCCAGACTCCCAAACAATACTTCCTCTGAATGATAGTCTGAGAGGAAAAGAGAAAGAAAGTGGACAGGAATGGTCACTCCTCGGGAGCCTGAGAAAGCGTGAAACACAAAGAAAGCACCCTTGGCTCTGTTTGATGTGGAGGAGTCTCAAGGTGAAGCCAAACTTTGCACTCCCCTCATCTATTTGAGCTCTTTCTCTTAAGATCAGAGGAGAAGGCTTCTGACAATCCTCAACCTTCAAACCGTTGCAGTAAATACACCACAAAACTTCTGTCTTCATCCGCCTGATGCTGAACTCTGCGGCCATCAGAGGTGTGAGGCCTGAGGTTAGCAGAGAGTAACTGAAGGCTGCAGCAGAATCAATAAGAACTCACCTTCCCCCCCAAAGTACAAGTGCCGAGTAATTTATAATTTACAGAGGAAGACTCACATACACACACGCACTCGACATCACCTTAACGGGTTGTGCTTTTCTCAGTCAAACCAAATCATGAACTTCGTTGCTCTTGTTTTCATGCAAGTCAGCTCTCACATTTCCCTGCAGCTCCGGCCCTGAAAATCCCACCACCATGGCCTCACCAAGACCATGTTTCCCCAGCAGAGCAAATCAATCTCCTCATGTGGAACAGAGGATGAATAGTCTGACCGGATGTTGGAAACTGATCAGATCAGAGGACAATCCTGCAGATATGAAATGCTGACTAAAACTGTTAAGCATGGCTACCATGACAGCCAAGTATGAAAGATAAGAACATGACATGAAAGGTGGATTGGGAGAGCAGAGAGGTTTGCTTTGAGAGGAGAGATTTCTGATAACAGATACAGAACAGAGGGAAATGTCACATATCATAGAGCTGTTTTCATTTCCTTTTTCTCCCCTTTAACTTAATTAAAAAAGGAAACTTCCATATATTGTACATTCATCACACAGAGCAAAGTATCTCAGGATGTTTACTGTTTGAATCTTGATTATTATTGCTTATAGCTTAAAAATCTACCAACTGAAACCATAAGAGCATTAAAAAACACAGATCCAAAGGAAGAATTTTTTAAACCATTCTTGAAATTTATGTTCATTCAGTCACTCACTACTCGCTTAGGACTCTTTTATACAAATTTCTGCATCAATGGCATAACCTCTAAAGGGTTCAGGTCAGACCAGTACCATCATAAGCACACCAGCTTCTGGGAGTTTTGGCGCTGTGGGTAGGTGCCAGGCCCTGCTGGAAAAGGAAGTCTGGATCCCTATAGTTTCTGGGCAGATGCTCTAAGATCTCTTGGTAGACTTTCAGTTGCATCAAGTCTGGACTTGATAAAGCACAGTAAACCAACAGCTGCAGATTACACGGTACTCCAAATCATCACGGACTGTGGAAACATGCTGGACTTGAAGCACTTTGGATTCTGTGCCTTTCCAGTCTTTCTCCAGACTCTGAGACTTTGACTCCAAATGAGATACAAAAATGACTTCAACACAAAACAGGACTTTGGAACACTGAGCAATAGTACAGGTCTTTTTAATCTTGTCCTAGGTAAGACACTTACGAGGATGTCTCTGGTTCAGGTGTGTTTTTACAACAAGAACACAGCACTTGTAGCCCATAAGGCTCAGTCCACCTTTATTCAGCAGATTAAAGATCTTTTCAGGACTGAAATAAGTGACAAGAAAATTGACTTTTCCCACAGTATTTTGATGACTTGAGATATATATATATATATATATATATATATATATATATATATATATATTTGTGAGCTGTAATCCAGATTCAAATTAAAAGTCTTAAAATATAACACTTTGGGTGCGATAAATTTAGTATATATAGAAGTTGCACATTTTGAATGACATTTTAAAAATTCTAGAAACCAGAACTTTTTCCTGGACACCCTCATTTTTTTAAGCTGCACCTGTACGTATATACTGAATTAAATCCACCCAAGTCCCACATGCTCCACTTGCCGTTCCCTGTTTCTCCCATGGGTTCTGCGTTACTAACATGTGAATTTGGTAACAGCAAACTCTAAAAATCATCAGTTATTTAAGTATATTTTCTTAAACCTCTTCATGCCTGAGTTCAACTGTTTTCACTCAGCATTGCTCTTTTTGGGCTGTTTTAATTGCGGCACTTCATCTCTGATCTGACTTTAAAACCAAAAACAAACACTTGTAAAGAGATAAAAAGATCTTCCAAAAACTTGACATTCACACTTAACACGGTGTCAAGACAAAAACACGTCTCAGGAAAGTGTTTGCCTTTTTTACACTCGGTGTTGTGAATTGTCTAATTTAACTCCTGTAATTCCCATCTGTAGTTCCTGGGAGAAACAGGCAGTAAGGGATGAAATATCAAAGCGTGTTTGTTTGTTGATTGGACTGTGCCCACTCTTCCCCACAGCACTGATAACCAGCTGATCAAAGAGCAGCTGATTCTCCATTATCAGCCTAATGTGTTGACCGAGTCTTGGCCTTTAATGAAGCTTGTTGTTTAGGTTTCATCTCATGGCTGGGATAAATATTATATTCAGTAATAATGTCAATTCTTTGCCCATTAAAATACATTCTTTAATTTCACAGTTTAATATAAGAGGAGAAAAACCTCTTATGTAGGGTTAATATTGAGCAGCTGTAAGAAGCTAATTCTGCCCATGATGGTGGTTTGCTTCTGTATGGGAGAATAATGATCTTCTCTCTTTGCTGTAGAGAGGTGGGAAGAACAAGGCCAGGAACTGAATTCGAACATGCTCAAAACTCCTGAAAATTTCCCACAATGTTTGGAGCTGGCCGGCTGTTGAAATTTTCATCCATATTTCATCTGCAACATTTTCTGAACTCGAAATAAATTTTGAAATACTGTGGAAAATTCACTGTGAGCAAGTGGGCAGGAGTGATGACCTTCAAATCAGGGAGGATGTTTTAAAAAATTGTGTGTCGAAACAGAAATTCCATAAATTTTTACATAAATCCAAATGCAATGCAGCAGCTTGAGCCTCTTTGTGTTCCTGATCAATCGAACATTTACACTTTCTGGATAGTCTATACCATTTTCATTCAGTTCTGCAACTTATGATCTACTGGAAGTATCCAATACTTCAAAATAAAAGCATACAGTGTAGGAAATAAAGCAACTTAAACACAAGGCAAAAACTACAAAAAATTTAAAAAAGCAAGTCAAACAATTGTTTTCAAAGGAATGTCTTTTCTGAAGAAGTTATAGTTACTTGGCCAGTGATGTAGATAAGTCATATTTGAACATAATTAGAAATGGATAAAGACATGTATGTTATCTGTGTTTTAGTAAAATCTATGGAAGTGTAAAATGTATGTACATATACAGTATATTATGCTTTTCCCACCCCTGCTTTGCCTCTTTTTAATGTTACTGTGTTTCTTCAAATTTCAAGTTTTCCATAAATATCATGGTAATATTTTTACCATGGTATTTTATGGTCACAATAATCCTGAGCTAAAAAATCTGATATTGTGATACATAACCCTACTAACAATCTTTGTCTACAAATCCATTTGAATTTTATTCATTATTTTAAAGCTTTTGGAAGTATATTCAAATTTTTAGATCAACTTTTTTTATTGATATTTAAAATGTTCTGTACCAATCAATTAGACTTTATCTGTGCTGTGCTTTTCATCCAATGAACTGTACACAAAGTAAATAAGCAGAAAATCATTAAAATCATTCAAAACACTGAGTCATGAAAGGTTTAAAATGTTTAAATTCAAGAAAATTAATAAATAAATAACATTTCATAATAAGTAAAGTAATGAAGTACTAAAACCTGAATAGAAGGAGACATAAATTTACTGTCTAATATTGCAATTTACATTTAGGACTTTGAGGAGATTCTTGGTCAGACACTTAGTTATTTTTAAGATCCATATCAAGGAAACAAAATGAGATAAATTATAATATCCTGTCTCTGTGGGGAAATTTGCAGGCTACCTACTGGAAATGAAGAAATAAAGTTTTTACAGTTAAGTGAGCTCCGATTTAATCAGCTGCACGCTGTGAGAGACATTGTAAGATTAAATAATACAATGAGCCTAAAATTGGCTATTTTGGTGATTAACTTGATTTTCATTGAGTCATTTGATTTAGAAATTCGTGTTGCTGCTTGTATTTCAAAGTAATTCAACGTGAACAGTATAATTTGTTATGATTTCTACATAATGGCTGCTCAGAGATCTGAATAGTTATTCCATTGTTCTTTCTAGTATCAGAAATTGTCTTTTTTTCCCCCTAAACTGACCTGAAAAGCTGAAATTTCTTTCTTTTTGTTCTTTTTTTGTTCTTTATAAGGGCCAATATGAGGAGCTCTTCTGTAACTTGTTTTGTATGCTGAAAATTTACAGTCAAAAGATTTTGCTTGGTTTTAATTCCTGTAATCATCTCTTGCCCAAGTCTGATTCTGAATAAGTGGGTTTGGAAACGTATAGCTTATTATCTGCTTCATCTCATTTTGGGCAGTGCTGTGGCCGTTGCGGAGATTGTATGGAAAGACTGTCACATTTATCTTCTTTAGGCAGTCTCACACGGCTGCACTCTTGTGAACTCATGCGGCCATTCTCAGCACTCCAGTCAACATCAGAATACATAAAATCACAGCGAACAATGGCTCAGTCTGCCAGTCCAGAGTTTGCACATTAGAATTCAGCTGTCGATGGAAGGAAGGAGTGAGGAGGAAAGTTTCTCGGCTGAGGAATGCCAGCTTCCTGCACTTCAGTGGCTCATGAGAGGGAAAGTAATCAGGGAAAAAAAGTAAGAGACAATGCAACCAAACTCTTTCCCTACTATGCCACATCTGCTTTGTTTTTATCGCTAAAGTTTGATTTTCTTATTTTGCTTTTACAACAATAATATGTTTAGACCTAAAGCAAAAAAATCAAAATAAAAAAATAAAGATTTGAGGTTGGATTGACTGATCCTGATGCAGTCTGAGGCCATCCTGAACTCAACCACATAAATCTAGTCGAATTTTTTAACATTCATGATTCAGATTTTATCCTCAGGTCCAACAGGAAGGTGGATTGAAGTGGTAACACTTCAGCTGGCTCCTTTCTGCTCACAGTAGAAGCTTTTTTTCCCCGAACGCTGTCTTGATGGTTGAGCTCTTCACTGTGTCTCAGTGAATAAGCCCTGCCAATACACTTCACCTGCCAGTATCTGGGATCTCATTTTTTGGACACTGTCCAAAGCTCTTGACCACTAGTAAGTGCTGGAACATTTATATTGACTCAGAATATGGATAGCTATGCTGTCCAGGTCGGACCAGTCTCTTTCACAACAAAATGATACAACACCTCACCACCTGTTCTTACCTTCACCCCAGTTTACAGTATTTGAACTCCGTCGCTCAAGGCAGAAACTCACAGACACATGACATTGAATGTATAAGAACTAAATGCCTCATAGCAATGACACCAATACTCCAAATTCTTGCATGAAAGGACCCCCAGTGGTTGGTCGGAGTCATTATCCAATGTACTTAGTATTTTTAGGCTGAATAAGCAAGTTTCCAGGACCCTACAGGGGTAAGAAGGAGGAAAATGGTCCTGTCCATGGCTTGGTGTTTTTTTTTGTCTGTATTTCTGCACATATCCTGAAGGTTTATGGATACAAGCCGAACAGAGCAGTACCACCAGAAACCATGGGGGCAGTGTTGCTGTTGTCACTACCCGATACGCTGGGGTGAGGGCCGTCTGGGCTTCCCTCCTGAAGCTGCTGTCCCCGCGACCCGGACCCGGATGAAGCGGAGTTTACGACTTTAAGTTTGTGTTTTAGTCCTGGGTTTCTTAGTGACAGAAACACCCATTATACATTTTATAAAAACATTGTCTACATAGCAGTCTCCTACAAGTTAGACCAAGACTGCAACTCATGCCTGTATGATAGAAAGTAACATCATCATCATCATGTTATTGAACGGCCTGATTCCCAGACAGCTCAGTTGGCATGTCAAAGTAATATTGAAGTATCACAGAAGTATTGTGAGTTGAGCTACCTCCTTCAAGCTAAGCACACAGGTGTTGAAGTTGCCATAGACACGGCAACTTGGATCTAAGGGATCTAAGATCTAAGGGAAGGTTTTTGGTATGCGTGCTGTGACCTGGTATCATCACAGGAAACATTAACTCCATTAAAGAGAGAAAGCAACTAAACTGAGAACAGTTCACAACCCTGTGGAATAAATTTCTACCTAAGAGGAGACATTTACAGATATTTGGATGTTTGGCACTGATCTAATATTTAAGGAAATGTTCAGCGGTTTCCTATTTAGTTAATGTATTCTAAAATTGAGAGTCTGTATTTTCACAGACGCTTTCCCCAAGGGAAAGTAAGCCCACCCACTTGCCGTATTTCTGCCAGTATCTCTGAGTTTCCTTTACACTAAAAGCAGGTCTCAAGGGGACCAGAGATGATAGTCAGCTCAGAGCCAATGATTTTTAAGGCTGACTGCACATTTCTATCCAGCCGTTTCCTCTAGCGAGCAGCAGAGTTTCTAAACCGTGTGGTAATTGAAAAGGTAAGCTGCTCCACAGAAAGATCGTATCCTTATTTCTGTGGCCCAAATTTACTAAACTGGAGCAGAAATCTTGTCTGTTTCTCTTCCCAGAGAAAGGGACATTGTGACACTAAAACACTTGAGTTTTACTGTGTCCTCCTCCAATTCACATCTCCAACAATCCTTAGAGTTTGACCACCAGCTCAGAAGTTTCAGATCTGCTCTCCAGGGCCAGATTGTTAATCAACAGCAGTGAAAAATAGATGAAATTACTGCTGTGTAACAAGCAAACATCCACATTTTTCTCAAAGATAATTTGAAATGCAGTCATTTGTGTAATGATCCAAACTTTGAAAACTCTACACTCAGCAGAACAAGATGTTTACTCCACATCTCCCGCCTTTTCCCCTCGCTGTTTCAGGGACAGCGCGGTCTAAGCAGTTTCTAAGTTTCGAGTCACACTTTCTCAACAAAGTGGAAAATCCGAAGGCCAACACCTCTCAATCTCTGAGCTGAAAAGACAAACATAGATGGCGGTGATATCTTATAAGCTGAGGCTTTGAAAGCCACAGTGCGCTGACCTCAGACGGGATTGTGTAGTGGATTTGCATCCACTTACACTTTGTGCAACAGCCCCCAATCCACAGATGAAGCCTGGTTTAGCCTTTTTTTAAAGTGTGGTTTCAGGCCAGAGCCTTACTCTTAACATTTTATCTTTCATTTTCATCCTGCAAAGATATTCATAGATGCACATTTATTGCTCAAACTGGAAGGTTGGACTCAGGTCATACACTTGTGGTGTTTTGTTTGCCTGGACTCTGTTTGTAACTTAAAGGTAGGGTTGGTAATCACGGCAAACAAACATGAATTTGAATGTATAATCTCTTCAGGACTTCGTCTAGTTCCTCCCCCCTCCCATTGGAGCTCCTTCAAAACATTTCCCCCCCACTCACATGCACGAGCGCTGCTGTCTGCTGATTCAAAACCATAGACTCACAACTTTGGGACTAGATTGGAAAGTCTTTGCACAGCAGGGACAAATAAGGCAACGTTAGCATCAGGATGACCACATAACTAGCAATATGGCTAAATACTTGGTCAAGATTAAAAATTGCCCTGAAACAAACCCTCAATGTACAGAAAACAAGTGACTATGGCATCACTTTAAAGCCCTTCACCTTTTAGTTCTCTCCATCGCTGATAAGCTGTCCTGATGTTGACTTTCAGTTTTTCCCTTTTTTCAAACTCTGTCTTGCTTCGGCCGTCTCTGCCTCCATCTTTCTTTTCTTGCTCTTTCTTGCAGAAGGAGCGGTCACCATTAATCTGGGTATAGGTAGTTTCTCTGCCATTCTCCCCTTCAGCTCAGCTATGTGCATTGAATCAGCGATAGGTACGCCCAGGAAGCTAGCACGATATTTGATTGGTTTAAAAATGTGGGACCCACACAATGTGACTGGTTGGTGTTTTCCCAGTTTTACTCCTACTATGGATAGCGGCTATATTTCACTCTTTTTAAGAACACATCATGTATTGATTGCCATTGGAACATAACGATCATTTTAACCATAGTAACAAAAAGTGTATCTAAATCAGATTACCAACCCTACCTTTGAGGTCAAGTTTTTAAATACTTGTGCAATGACTTGTTCTACCCTCCCATTCATTTTAGCACAAAAGATCAATTAGTGCAGAAACTGCAGGACTAAAGATTTGTAATAGTGAAAAGATTTAGTGAAATTATTCAACCATTCCTGACAAATAAAGGGATATTTGAAGTTTGGATGTAAAGCTCGGCATACAAGAAGAGCAGCTAAGACACTATTTATGTGGAAATGCACAACTGCATATCTAACAATGTGGTCGTGTGATTAATGGATCAGATATGGTGCTGTCATGTTAGATTATATCAAACGACGAGCTTCACTGCTTCATTTCATAAATCATATCAGAACTTCACATTCCTGCCAATTTCCTGCTTCAGTGAATCTGCTTCTCAACAGTTTTGATATGTTAAGTGTTTGTGTGAATACATGTGTGTTTGGTATCAACTTTCCTATTGCTGCTCTGACCTGTCGAGATATCAAGCTGTTATATTCATGCCATTCTTACAACACCAGCGCCTTTTCGCTGATTGTATTTGAGGACCTTTTAAAGAGGCTCACAGACTTTTTTTTTAGTGTATGACAGGTCTACAGTGAAGCTTCATTCTGAGCATGCCCAGAGAGTTATAGGGATCCATTAAAACAACATTAATGCTGTGAGTAAAATTCTATGTGAGACTGTAAAGCCGAACACTCACCATATAACACGAAAGCGCACATTTACATTCAGTGATCTTGCTTTCGTAGAAACGTTCATAAAGTTCATGAACCTTATAATTATGCCACCTGCTCTTCTCGCCAACAACAAGCGACATAGTTAAAAAGGGGATCGTAAGTCTGGCGGGGTCTGGGGTTTACAACTCAGACGGATTTTATCGAGAAATTTCAGGAGAAATGTATCAAATTAAACTGAACTCACGGGTAGATAACCAAATACAGTTTCGGGGAAAGATGTGTGTGTTTGGAACTCAAGCCAATTATTATTAACCTTTTCCCAGTAATAAATTTGCTCCAAAACTGTAAAATATGCAGATGAAGTGAGGTACCTCTAACCTGCAGAGGACTGGTTTATATGAGACAGCTGTCACTCTGTGTTAGTCTGAACAGATACGACAGGCTGCACTAACTTCTTGCACTCGAGCGCTAAACCTAAGGTTAATACATCAGGTGTCGTGATCAAATGGCAACACTTTGTGTCATCACCGCTCTATGAATTTAATATTCAGTGTCTGACATGCTCACCTACAGTACGAGGCAGACAGTCAGGCAGAAGCTTATTCTAACTCTCTTATTGCAAAGTGTCCTTTTTCTATTCCCCTCTGTGCATAATAACCTCAACATTGCTGTAAATATTTCCTCGACTTCCCTGTGTTTTTTGCAAAGTGAACCCTTTTTTCCCAATACTTGTAATAACCCTCAGAAATCCATTTTCTACTTTTTGTTTTTTTTTGTTTTCAGCCAAACCTCATTAATGAAGTACAGAAAAGTCCTTGAATGTGACAAACTATTTTCTCTGCATGGTTTAAGGCCATCGAGCAGCTCAGAACATAATAGCAGGGCTCTTAAAGATCCACTCGAATCAAAATCATGTTTTTCTTGTTGTCTACATGTTAATACTCATGAGAAAAAAAAGTGTGAAATTACATTTCTGGTTATTTCTGCATTCAACTCGCTGTAAATCTCTTGCAGACCCAAATGGCAGGTTCAGGCACAGTGAGATTTCCTACATAACAAATCCAAGCTCCGCCCCCAGAGCCTCGCTCTGCAGGCCAGACTCAGACAAATAGAGAGGACAATCATGGAACAAGAGTGAGCATTTGCGGATTGCAATGCTTGTGAGAAAGCTAATAATGATATAATCTTTCATCACGTCACTTAAGATATTAGTGTTTGAGAGCTGAAGTGCTGTCCACGACTTAGAGGTGAATTGCTAATATTCTACCTGAGCTCTGCAGAAGAAAAGCCCTTGAAAATGATACAGGTAATGTAATTTTGGCTAAAAACTTCATGATCACATGTTAAAGACCACTGAGAACACTTTAAGTAGGAAGAAAAAAAAAAGATCGGAGTGGGACTGAAACATGATGGCTGAAATCAATCAATCAATCAATCAATCAATCAATCAACCAATCAATCAATCAGGGTCACAGCACTGGCAACATCAGCTTCATCTGTACCTTCCCTTGCAGCCTCATGTGGACCTAAAGGTAGTGATGTAAAGAACAGTTCTTTTGACTGTACTGAATCTTTAGAATCCTTTCATTAAAAGGATTCGTTCAAAAGATTCGTTCACTGAATCAGTCAGTGCTTCGGAGCCCCGTCCTGCCAGTGCAGAACAAAAGTGGGTGACACGGTCGGAAGTTCGTTCATACATGTCGTTCACGGACTGATGTTTTGTTCACTGACTGTTTAGTTCACATACTGATACATATCGTTCATTTGCTGTGAGTGAATCACGACACACTGCCCGCTCTCTCGCTGGCTGTGTGTCGTTCGCCAAAGAGTCAAAGGCGGCAGTTCCACTCCCGACCGGCATGCCAGGCTCGCAGCAGAGCTCAACTAACTGAAAAAGGAACGAATCAGGTCTTGGAGTGATTCAGTTCATGTCGTTCACTCAGCAGTTCCATTCTTTTGAACAAAACGTTATGAACGACACAACACTACCTCAAGGTCCCCATGACTGGAAGCATAAAGCAGGTCTTTGTGGAATTTAATATCACACTGACAGGCACCATGTAATTTGCTGCCTGATTCCCTGTTATATAACTTCTTCTGTCCACAATGAACTCAGTCCAAATATTGCCAACACTATAACACTTGGAAGGTTTTTTCAATCATACGAGAACATGAAACATGTCCTTCAGATATTCAATGACTGGCATGGCCCTCTATATTAAGGCCCATGATCATTATCTGCAGGATAGCACCTGTCAAACCCTCTTTATTTTTTAAATAATCTTGTTCCTCGGATGGTAGAGAGGTGTTGTAACATTCTCTCTGCAGCATCATATTTGTCAGTCACAATCTGCGACACCGATTTTTTTGATAGATTTTGCTGAAAGCTCCTGAACCTCTGCTGTGAAACTTGTAATTTTCTAAAAGATGCCATTTTTTTTCTGGTTAAGTCTGTTATTTTGTGGGATGCTGTTGTCTCTTCAGTTCGAACTATTTGTTTCCTGAGATGTCCTCCTGAAAATGTCACTATCTGCAAATCTTGTTTTTCTCATTTTGGGCTGAACTTTTTGTGAGGTTACTGTTTGTTATGCAGCTCAACAGAATCACTGTTCACACTCATTTTCTTCTCTTTCTCCATCCTCATACAATGCCGTGTGTCACAACTTTTCAACTTACATTAAAACATAGATGTAATCGATATGAATGTGCAATGAATATGAGTAAGTGTTCGCATCAAATGTCTCTCATCTGTGTGAAAAAAAAGACCCGATACTATGAATGGATTTCACATCTTTGTAAGGCCAAGGGCAAAATTCAATTAAACTCTCTCTGGAGTGTGTGCTCCAACTTTGTCAATGTTTTACTGTTCCTGTAACCAAAACTAGGAAGTAACCTGATACTGAGAGCATTTCTTTCCTTCATGTCCTTGAAGACTGAAAGACATCTGTCTCCGCCCGCCTAAAGTGTATTGATCAGTGCACTTCAGACAGGGATGGACAGAGGAGAGACAGGGGCTCCCAGAAAAGACTGTGTATAAGCCAAATAGTTTCATAACCACGTTATGTTACAAATTCTCATTTTGATCCCCTGATCACTGATTCGATGTCCCTCCCTCCATTACATATCAAAGGCCTTCTTCAAAATCACTGCAACACTTTTAATGTACAGTCAGCCACATCACACCTGATCAAGACGATGAAGATGTTGGTCTTCTGTCATCTGCGCCCCCTGGTGGGATCATCAATGGACCAACTGCAGTTCGCCCATCAGCCAGGCATTGGGATGGATAATGCCGTCATTTACCTCCCGCAGAGATCTCTCTCTCACCTGGAGAGGACTGTGTGAGGATCATGTTCTATGATTTCTCCAGTGTCTTCAACACCATACAGCCTCTGCACAGGACGGGACCACCACCTCGCACCCTGGCTGCTGATGACTGTGTGTCTGACACTGTTGTCTGCAGTACGGGGGCCCCAAGGGAACAGTCTTGGCTCCCTCATTTTTTTTACTCTGTACTCTGCAGACTTCACCCCCATACGACAAGCTGACAGCTGCAGTAGTTCTTGGACGACTCCGCCATTGTTGGCCTCATTGCCGATGATGATGTGAGGGCGTATAGAGAACTGAACCAGAACTTTGTGGACTGGTGTAAACGGAACTTGCTCCAGGTCAGAACTGGAAAAACCAAGATATATTTCTGGAGGTGCATCCCCACCCCTCCACACTGGTGAATATTCAGGGAAAGGACATTGAGATTGTGGACTCTTACAAGTAGGGGTATCCCGATGTTGATCTCAGATATCGGTCCGATGTCAGCAAAAAACTAATATCAGACTATACCAGCCTGCATTTAAAATCTCCAATACCAGCACTCCAATGCAAGCAGTCCATTCCAGACTCTGCTCTAGCACCTCTCTCTAGCAGCGCTGGGATTTAGCATGCAGAGTCTGCGTACTCACAACAACAGTGTGTACTACGGCACTAACAAAGTAGCAAGGAGTAGGAGTGTGGGAGTATTTTTTGTTTAAGTCCAAAAAAGATGTTGTAGTTTTTGCCAATATCGGATTAATATTAGTATCGGCCAATACTGAAGGCTACAATATTAGTATCGTATCAGAAGTAAAAAAGTTGTATCAGGATATCCCTACTTACAAGTACCTGGGTGTTCACTTGGACAATGAACTGGACTGGACTGACAAACTATATGATTAGTTCTGTGAAAAGCATCCTTTTCTGCTTGCTATCTGCCGGTGTGAAAAGAGACTGTTTGTGTTCACAGCAGCCTCAGCCTGGACTACAATCATTTCCCACTTTCCCTGTGTGTGGCACCAAGTGGGGGAGAAGAGGTTGTATTTGCAAATAGAAATTGACAGAAAATAACAAAAAATGGGAAGAGACAGAGTTTAAAAAAACTCTGGAGAGACAAAAGCTGCTCGTAAGTCTTCTTGTAGACAAGTGTGTCAGCTGGAAGATATAAGATAAGGCAGCGTTGAAGTGCTTTTGGCGTCATTATCACTTCGTTCTAGTGTGTTTATATTTACAGGATACAATCAGCTGATCGTAGGCATCTCTAAGGGGTTGGTGTGAATCACTCCATCAGAATGTGGAGTATTGTGAGTTTAGTGGAAGTGACAGCTGACACCGAACACTCACAACACACGCTGAACCGATGCTGACAGCTGCTCCGTTAGTGGTGAAAAAAAGTGAGAGACCGGGAGAAAGAAAAGAAACGGACAGAGAGCTGTGAGACTGAGTGAAAAGAAGTGAAGGTGAGAAAAGGTTGTAAACACCGGGTAAACACTTGTCTTCTGTGAAACGGAGGCACAGAGCAGCTCAGGCAGTCGCATTAGTGACCCCATGAGACAGCACAAACACACACAAACACACACAGACACACACTGTTGTGTTTTCAGCAGACACACTCCTCTCATTTCACCTCAACATATTTTGCTTTTTTTAAAAGAAAGGATCATTTTGTGTCGCTTCCGAGAGATACAGATCATTCATGAAAATGTCATTCACAGCTGATGCTTTCTGCCGAATCAATACGCACATTTGGTGACATTTCCCTCAACACCTCTGGTAACTGCTTAGTGTGTGTGTGTGTTTGTGTGCAGTTAGACAGGCAGCAATTAACATAAATCTAAACACTGTCTGGACAGGAAGGAGACGGTGACAGTGTCCGACTCCGGCGCAGTACGTCTCAATATGACCTTATTTGACAGAAGGGCTGTGGGTGACGAAGGCAAGAGGAATCGAGGGGGAAAGGTTGGACAGGAGGAGGCGAAAGAAATATAGGTGAAGAAGCTTATCTCAGTGATTACAGAAGTGTGATAGAATTAAAATAACTGTGAGGGACAGTAAGTGTTTTAGAAAAGTGCAGAGGGAGAAAAATAAAGAGTCATTCAACAAACAGAAACATTAAGAGAAGCAAAAAGAGAGAGGGCAGCGGGGGGATGAGTCCAAAGACCCATGAAGACAAATTTCAGCACAGCTCTCTGCTCTGTAGGGACAGTGGTAAGACGCTACAAGTATTGTTAATGCTCCTCTTCTCTGTCTCTTTATCTGATGCTGCCATAAATATCCCCTGGTCTTGTTTGCTTTTGGAGATCATAAAAAGGCATTTATATGAATTTCAAGAATGTAAAAAATCGTCTCCCAGTTGCTTTAAATCTTGATAAATTCATTCTAAAAGCAAATCACAACTTATCCCATTTTAATCACATGTCTAAAATTCCATTATTGTCCTTTAAATCTGTATGAACAATTATGAGAATTTCCTGCCAGAGTTTTGATTTAAGGATTAATTTAATGCAATCAGATTATCTAAATAAACTTGACTTTCAGATTTATTATTCAAATACATGCATCTCTTCACCTGCGTTTTGAAGCAAACTGAAAAGACAGACAACAGCCTCAAAGAGTTGGTTTAATTTAATCTTAAACTAACAGTTGGTATGTTGTGCAGTTACTCACTGAAGCCCAGTGATTCCTGGCATTTGTACTTTATAGGAGTCCCAGTTTTGTTCTCTCTCTGTTTCATACAGGTCTTATAAATGTGACAAATTTGTCCCCCCGTGATGGTAAGGCATGACTGATCTTTACATGCTAACCCCCTTAGACTGAAGTTCTCAATAACGTTGACTGGCTACTTACCACCCATCTAGTATGACTAACCACTTTGATTGAATTTTATCCACTGGTATGGGGTAACATTTTTTGCTCCCTTAAAAACAGCACTCTGCTGACTCTCATGATTTCCTGCTGACATCGACTGATCGGCTGCACGTGTATGCTTAGCCCACAGGTGGTCAGCTCCAACACAAAGTGCTTCTGTTGACAAAAGGTGCAAATTTGACTCGTCAGCTGAGCTGTCTGAGCGTTTTTACGAGTACAGCCTGTCTTTAAAAAGTTACAGTAGCAATGTTATCTCTTGACACAGCTGCGGCAGGAAGATGGCCTTAATTAGGAAGGACCAAAAGAGGAAGAAAGTCGTGATTACATTGATGCTGAAAGCTTTAAAACAATACATAATAGTAAGTAAATGGAAGGTTGAATTTGGGTAGAAAACTGCATTACTGCTATTAAGAGTCAAGGTGACTCAGCCCTCCTTCATGCAGAGACACTGTTATATGAATGAGGAGCTGTCTGAAATGCTGTATTTCATCAGTGTGTTTGATGAATTGTGTATCTAATGAATTAAACCTAATTCAAAACACTGTTGTGCATCGGTGCATTTTTATTTGCTGTATCATGTACCATGGAAATATGATAACTCTAAAGCGTCTGTGAAGTTTGCTGAGTCAGTGTCAATTTCGCCTTTTTTTATCTTTTCATCTTCACACAGATTTTTGTCCCTGTACTATAAGAAGTGTCAAACAAAAATGATCTTCCAGCTTGATTTAAAAAGTCAGACATAATAGATATTTGTGGGGTAAAATCCTAAAACCTTCTTTCAGAAACTCCTCACAGGAGCTCTGTTGAGCACCTTGACATGCCTTTTAAAGAGAAAACATTACTGATAAAAACTTAAGATTTATTGACTCCAAAGAGGAAAGCACTTTTCTTTGAGCAAAACTCTTTTTTGCTATTTTGCAAACCCACTGACACTGCGGAGACCTCATTTATTATATAACATTTATATTTGTATTGCTCAGTTGAGGATTGTTCAGGGAATTTAAGGCCACTGGGACTTCTTGAAGGTTTAGTATAAACCACTGCAGAGAGGTCCCTCGGTACAGTTTTGACGAGCTCTAGTTTGGCGTTAAAGTCTCTTTTTCTTCAAGTCGTGTTTTTCTTTAAACTGTTTCAGACTGAGAAAGTGTAGTCTAGTATGTAGTCTAGCATAAATCAACTTTGAGCTGTTTTTGACAATATCAGTACTTGAGAAACTGTTCATATTGATTAGAGCTAAAATACTTCATAAGTACCAATACTGAACATTTATAGCTAGTGTCATAACAAGAGTTGGATGAGTTTAATGATAGTGCTGTCATACAGTTAAAGAATAATCAAACTAAGTACAATGTGATCTCTGATTATTGAGTTGAAGTTTATTGCATTTTAATCCGACTGAATTGCAGGAAAACTTGTTGAAATGATCTGTTCTTAGGTGGTTATTAGGCGTTGTTTCCTAAACACACACACACACACACACACACACACACACACTTCCTGCTCTCTGTGTGCAGCTGTTTGCCTCACAGCAGCTGCTGCTCATTTTTATACGGCCCTTGAGACGTGTGTAAGGGTTTGTTGTTAATGACAAATTATTTCAAAGTGACCGAGAAGAGCATGGTCAGAAATAATGTCAGAGCTTTGTGCAGTTTCAAGGCTGAGACAGGATTTACATAATGCTGGAAAGGTTGCAGCTCTTTCATGCTGGTAGAGTTTGGATGTGGGCATGTTCATGTCATATACAGCCTGCGTGAGCCTGTAGATCGTACACACATGCTGTGATGTTAGACACCAGAATGACATTAATCTGCGTTACTTTTATGAGGCCTCGTAATGCATTAAATTGAAAGCCTAATCTTGTTACCATACGTTTATTAGACAATCATAAGAAGCTGTCAAACTAAAAAAAATAATAAATTTAAAAAAAGCTAATCTTCTAAAACGAATCAGACAGGGGTCAGTAATCAAGAAAAAACATGTCAAGGATATGTGATGAAGCCTTCGTGGCTCTTGACTTTGTAGTGAATGTGTTTGGAGATCAGGAGACATGTGCATGAGTTGTGTCTGAAAATACTGGTAGTTGTCAGTATGAGACGGTCAGTAAACTATCCAAGTTTGTACTAAACTTGGTGAATGCTGCCAACAGGCATGTCGTTTCATGAAAACATAAAGCACTCACTGCTTTATACAAAATTCACATACAGAATTGCCCAAAGCAAGAAAACTCCCAACACACTAATTATGATAGTACAATTCAGGGTTTTGTGGAATGTAAAACAAAAAAAAAAAAAAGCTGATTCAGCAATCTCACAATGTGCCAAAAAAAATAGTTGAAAAATGTTGGTCGCTCTTTTTTTGTCCTGTTGGAGTTTTATTCTGAAATTGCAGACACACTGATGCAGCAGCTCAGTCACGCATGTCAACAAAGTGTTCTGTTAAAGTTGAAATGGGCACTGCAAATGTAAATGTTGCATAATTCATCTTTTTCAAAAGCACACAACGGACAAATGTCACAAAAAGTAGTTTGTTCAGTTTCAAACGGGGGATTTGTAGTAAAATGATTGCAATCTGATTCATTTAAATGCATCTTTTTTTTTTTAAGTAGAGTGCTATGAAGCAATCAAGTTCCTAATGTCACAGAGAGCTTTGCTGAACTGGATGGTTTTATGTTTTAATTTTGTCTATTTGTAAAAAAAATCTACACAGCGCAGTAATCCAGTGGTTTAAGTCACATAAAATTGGTTTGACAGCTCCAGGTGAAATATATATTTTTAATCATATTACTTAAAACGACTGGAGGAGGAGAAATTAATGCCACCACTAGCCAGAACACTGCCCTCCCATCGATTGTGCATGTGGTGTACATCTTTTACAGGCCCTGAAATGCCAATAGCTCCAACATCAGTATAGCTCCTGTGGACTGTTATTCTTCTAGATTGATAACAGGATCCTCATTAATCCCCCTGATGTTCCTCGCTGGCTCTCTGCTTCTTGTTGTCTACCAATCTGCGCTTGCTCAGCACAAGCCCCTCTGGCTACACACATTGATAACAGTGATCTAACACATGCTGTTCATATTCCAGCCGAGCGTTAATAAAGACTGCGGGCTCCATTCCTCAGATTGGCCCTCTCTGTGTCTGGCTCTTCCTCTCTGTCTTTTCTGTCTCCGCTCCGCCCATCAATAACTGTCAGTCTGGCTCCGTTGTTTCTCTCCGTGCAGATCACGATGAAGTAACAGTGAAGCTCAGAATGATAAAAAGGGTGGATTTTGGAAAAGAGTGATGGAATGCAAAGACTCTGAGACATGCTAGAGGAGGGAAATCTTAACGGGGAACACAGGCATGAGAGTAAACAGTGCTTTGACTCAACAACAAGGTAATCCTCAGGATAATTTCCAGCTTTAATCTTCTATAGCTCTTGGTAAAAGTCCAACATTCCTGCATGAAATCACATCTCTCCCCACAGAGACATTTCACCACTGTGCAGGGAGAGGCCGGGCAAACCGTACCGCTCACACATGGCTGTCTTGGTTCAACCCTGCAGGAAGACATGCTGCCATTTTTGTTTGTTCGTCATGATAATGTGAATCGACAGGGCCCTGGCATCGTTCTGTGTCCCTGCTTTCCTCCTCTCATGGACAGATTCGCAGGATGTTGGCAGACAGGTTCTATCACTGTCACGTCTGTATGCTGCTTGGTTGCAATAGAGACTCATGGGTTTCTGCTCTCTTCTTTCTCTCTTCCATTATCTCATCCTTTAAAGACATTGATGAATGACAGTTCACCAATTAGTCTAATTGTACTCTGTGTTTTTTCCAGTTAAAAGAATGTTTTCTACTTGCCACTGTTGATAAATGCTTCTTCATGATGGTTTAATGTTTGTTCTCTCAAACGAACTAAGGCTATAGTCTGACTCGTTCTGGAAAGTAAAGACTAAAACATACAGGATCTGTATGGAGCGTGTTCCATCAGCATCACGTATCTGCACCGTCGAGCAGCGCTGTCTATCGCAGGATGCATATTTGGAGCGTAGCAGCAGTGTAGTGCAGCCCTGGTCAGCTGGGCTCAGTATAGAGGAAACAGCATGTTCACAACAGGTTGTTTTGCCTTTCTGTGGTCTTTTTCCTGCTAATTTGGATATAATTCAGAGACTGTTGAGCCTCTAGGATATGTGAAACAGCAACATGACTTGAAACTTTTTTTTTGCAGGTTTACTCGTGTTGATAGCTGACAGCGTCCTGTGTGCAATGATGTGTTGATTAGAATGGCAACCTATTTCCTGCGTGATATGCGACGCTTATGGAACATGCTCATACAGATCCTGTATGTTTTAGCCATAGACTGTATATAGAATGAACGCCATCTTTCTCCTCGCTGGGTGAAGCCACTCTGAGAACAGCACCCTCTGGTGATGGGCTGCAGTATAGGTCATAAATCCCGTCAACTCCAGCAATCCCTACGGAGCTGTGGACAAACTTTAGAAATTTATTACACAGAATATAAATTCTTCTCATCCCCGGTTGCAATATTGACATGTAGTTACTGTAAGACTGGTTTGTGCTCAAGTCCTCTTTTTTCTGTGAAGCTACATTTTTAAAAGTTATTAGGGGGTTTAAGTTTTCTATGATTGACACCGGATACAGCCTATTGGCGTACAAAGATCATGTAGCTCCCTCGGAGGATACACTGTTTGAGCCGAGCATCATCACAGCGACTCTCCCGCCAAATGTGTACAATGTTACTGCGCAGGTGGAGGATTCAGGAAGTGAAGAAAATACCAAGAGTTATTGGCTTCAAATCCGTATAATGACAGGAGGTGGAACCAAGTTGTCAATCGTATATACATTCTATGGTTTAATCTTTAGCAGATAACTTTTGTCTTGATTTGGTGCTTTGTGGAGTAAAAACTGAAGACCTCCTGAGAGAATGTTCTCTCATCTACGACTAAGGTACGGGTTAAACAATAATCGCATCTCTGTTTGTATCTGGGAGGAAGACAGAAATGAAAAAGTGTTGAACAAATAATCACAACAGCCTTTCTTTTCATGAGAGAGGCTCCAGCCTAAATCTATTCTTGCAGTTATGAATGCATAAACAGTCCGATAGAAACCACTGCATGTAGCTGTGATGACCTTAAGCTGGCACAAGCATTTTGCATCTAATACACTTAAAGTCTCGTGACATCCTTGACATTAACAGGAGTGCTTTGAATTACCTTGTAATATTGAGTCCTACATACATGTGCTCCACAGCAACACAACAATAAGTCTGTAGGAGAGAGCTGACAGAAGAACACCCACACAAGTTTGGAGTGTGCCTATAGAGAACAAAATTAATTCAGCCTTCATGGATCAGTGGGTTGCCTCGATGCCTGATGAGTTGGTGTAAATTGCATAAATAAAGAAAAGTACACAGGGACACACTTGACTGAAGAAATATGTAAGACATTATTTTCTTTCCTACACAGTAATTGCAGGTGACCTTTTGTTTTCTCGTATCTTCTTTTCTATCAGCAGTTGTTGTCTCCCTCTGCTTTCTCTACCCTTTCACCTACTATTCACCCTTTTTCGAGCTGAAATCCAAGTTAACGTCCGTGCCAAATGAACGAACTGCACCTCTACGCAGTAAGTAACTTCCCTCGCTTCGCAATCACAAAATAATTGATCTTATTTTTGCACTCATCTCCTAAAAGCTTTGAGTTTAGTACCAGAGCTGTAATGACTTCCATTTGTAGCACAAGGGGGGAGATTTTCTACCAACAATTCAACAAGCTTTGTCCGTATGCAGGAAAACTGTGTGTGGAGAGCAGGAGGAGCAGAACGCAATACACCACAATGCAATCTCATCATTTATTCAGCTGCTAGTCACAAAAACAATTTAGCTCAACTAGATACCTATAAAACACATTCACAAATACGTGTCTGTGCTGACTCCTGTAATACATTTAACATTCACCTGCACCTTATATCAATACTGTAAATTAAAGAGTACATCAATCGAGTTAGAGGGTAACGTAGATGGAAGCTCATTGGCTGAAGGAGAAGACAACATAAAATCTCAGACAACGGGATAGGAAGTTCCAAAATATGATAGAGGATGCACTTAAGTCTGCAGGGAGACTTGCAATTACCTGCAATGGGTGAACTTCACAGGTCAGGGAATACCTGTGAGGAAATTACTGCCCATTTTATTGTCAACAAATGAGAGAAGCACTCCTCCACAAACCAGCTCCGAGTACAAGACGTACAGAGGTGCTCGTGTAGCGGGAGTTTTACTGAAGGCCATGAAAGAATTAAAACTGAACCATAGAGGTGTGATTATCCACATTATGATGAATAAAACTGTACAGCTGATACAGATCAATATTAAACTGGTTTGTTTATGTTTTATAGTTGAAGCATGAATTATAGTTGACACAGAAGTCGGACATTACTGTCAAGCAACAAATTTGGACTAATTTTTAAGTGTGTTTTAAAAAAAACTATATTTTACTTTTAGTTTACAGTTAATTACGGTGAACATTTCTCAATAACTTTCAAGCCCAAGAAACACAAAAACTGAGCAACACAGACTGATACCACGTAGGTCTCTTAGGAATTACTCTGCATTGTTGATAAAGACTCAAGACCCAGTCCTCTGACATTAGAGTGTCAGAAAGAGCCAATGACAAATTTCCATGACAGTTTTGACAAGATTTGAGTCCATTTTTCATTTGCACCTGTGTAAACTGAGCTCAAGTCAAATCTCCAATGCACTTCAACAACATTAAATTAACCTTTTTGTATTTTGTCCACTTATATAAACTCACTGCAAGGCTCCATCTAAATGCTAGTTGGCAGCAAGATCATTATCGTTAACAAAAACAAACCAAATCATAAAAACTAAAATGTCCAAAACATTTTTGTTAACTGAAATAAAAGCAAAAACAAGGCTTTACAAAAACAGGATAAATGACTAAAACTGCATTGTACATTAAAAATAAAAATTAAAATAAAATAAATAAATAAATAAATCAAATCACAGAGAGAGTGCCCTTTGTTTTTGTCTTTGGCACACAGAAACTCTCTGGAGCAGCACCAGGAGTTCCATTTTGTTTGGACCTCCTCACAGCAGAAGTTAATATTTTTTTTTCTATGTAGGTCAATCATGTTTGGTACTTTCAAAAAGCTCACTTAAGGTTTACCTCTGAAACATAAATGATACTGAAACAACTATTTCTTTACCTGCCGACTATTAATATTCTGACTGACACACGAGTAAAGCTGTTCAAATATTTTCCTGTTCATGTTTTGCTGTAGATGTTAAGGAAAAACATTTGATTTTGTTTAAGAAAACCAAATCTTTCAAATGATCTGGATGGATTAACGTGATATTTGTTTATAGTTAGGGAAAGGAAAATGATCATTCTTGGTCACCTTGTGTATTTGTCGCTGGTTTGACCAAACTCTGACATATTGAACTCACAGAAGGCCATTTGAAATAGCTACATGTATAAAGCGGGGTTCATGCTTCACACAGGGTGATTGATTTTCTACAGAAACAATGAAGCACAGCAGTCATCCCAGTGTTGGAGGGATTCATCCTGAGGCCTCCAACCTTTAATCCAACAGTTAACGGTAGTCGCTGCCTCTTTTTTCAGAAAAACGAACAAACCAAAAACTACTAACTAAAGAAAATATAACAAAACTGTGACAAAAAGGTAACATATTCTGCGCATGTTTTGATCAATGATTACAGTCTTTGATTCCTGCTGTGGCATAAATATTGTGTCTCCAGCTGTTGCTCCTCAATAAAATGCACTCCATGTTTGCTTTAAATATGATGCTGCAGCAAAGGTGCTGTTTGTATTAGCATATTTATGTCCTCATTTACACAAAAACTCTTCACAGGAAGAATGGAGAACATCTTGTCTTTACAAATCTCTCCGACAAAGTGTAGAGAGTGAAGAGCAGACCTGAGGAAATAATTACTTTAGGCTGATACATTAAATGGTTATTTCAGAAGAGGCAATAGAGTAAAAAGGTAAGAAATAAGACTGACATTAGATTTAAAGTGTGAGCAGGATTATCAAATATGGACACAAATCCTGAAGGGACACCGCAGTTATTGCGTCTTTGAGGTGCACATGAGAAAGCAGACACTTTCACTTTCCTTTGAAACGTCCTTTCAAGAGATTAATTCAGAAAAGAGAGTGGGCACGTTGCTTGTGTCGGGGACATTGCCTGTGTTGGGTGCATGTTTCCTCCCGCCAAGCTTGGAGTCAGCGGTGACATTGACAGAAGTGTGCAGAGAAACGGGCACAGAGAAAGAAGAGTGTCAACAGAAACCAGGATTAATGGGAGTACAACTATCTTTTAAGATCACAGTCGTCACTGTTAGGGAACACACAACTTGTCACACAGCGTTGGATGTGCGTATAATTTGCAGTCAGTTTGAAAGTCTGTGCAGCACTGAGCAGAGAACCATTTTGAAGCCTCCTGCACATGCCTCAGAACTGTGATGGAATCTTGCCAACTTTATTTGATTTCTGTTAAGCGGGGTAAACACAACAAGATTATACCGCCAAATTTGGGCTTGATTACCTCCCCTGACGGATGATGTTACCAGATTTAGTGTGAGGTATGTAAGGAGTTGATTTACATCTCTCTCTTTGCTTGCAGGATGATCAGGGCCACCGTGGTTTAAAACTGCAGATATTGAACATTTAGTACTCAAGATCAGAAATCATGTTGTGTTTAGGGGGACAGAGCATGGACTTATACCTCTTTTCAACCAAACCGGTGCCAGGGGTAGTTAGCTGGTGGTCGTGCTACTTTGCACTGGCCGGAGTCACATCATTGCTCTGAATACATCAGCTAATATGTCTTTGATTTCCCTGCACAACTTGCACTCTGTCTTGTAGCACAACAGCAGATATGGAAGACTATGGGGGACATCAAATGGACATTTCCGGTGTAAAATTGAGTTAGGGTCAAACACACTGTAACACCAAGTTAGACACCCCGTCGAGAGATGAATGTTGCTGACTGCATGCTTCTCTAGTTATACCAACTTTAGTAATGACCTCAAGATAGCAATAAACAGCAGTCTAAGGACCCACGCGCTCAACCAAAAAGCCACTCTATAACCAAAAATAATGCTCAGAACAGCGCCTAACTTCATCAACAGGACATATAGGGTCCCAGCCATAGTACTAGCCATCAAACATCTTTTAGCTTTGCCTGATTTCTTTAGCAAAGAGACTAAACACAACTCACCTACTCTCCTCCGGCAGCCGCTTATTTGTGAGGGAGCCCTGACAAGTCCATCACCGAGTGCAGCGAATCATTTCCTTAAGGTAATAATCATCATTTTGCAATGCAGACGCTGTAGTTTTTCTGCCTTAGTGTCTCGGTCTGATTACATTTCCATGAAGTAATGCACGTGGCTCCTGTGACCGCTGTGTATTGCTATCGTGCGGTCGTTACTAAAGTTGGTATAACTAGAGAAGCGAGCAGTCGGCAAAATTCATCTCTCGAGGTGTCTAACTCAGTGTTCTGGTGTGTTTGACCTTAACTAAATTTTACACTGAAATAACTCTTTAAGTGGATAATTAAATGGAGGACTGGCTTGTTGATTTGTGACTACAACATGAGTGTGTCCTATAAAACGTATCACTGACATGGAAACGCAGTTTACAAAAATTCCTGCTACGACAGATGTACCAGAAAGCTAAGCGGCGAGTAATGTTTTTTCACCCTAGATTCACATGTGACCTTGAATAATGTTAGTGAGACTTCTAGTCTTGAGAATCAGGACACATTGTAAAGAGGATCTGCTAAAAACTTGCCTTCTCATTGCACTCCTCAGACCATGAGAATAAACCTGTTAAATCTGTTATTATTGTTTGTTATAATGATCACTGCTGAGTCTCTCATCTTTTCATAAACTGTTAAGCTTGTAAAAATCTTTAGTCTGTGCCAAATCTTTGGCCTTGTTCTAGTCGTTTCCATTTCCATGGTTTTTTAGATGCATGACATCTTCACGACAAATCTTCAGTCTCCAGTGTTAAACATCTGTACCCTTTGTTCTCCCCCACCTTTACAGCTCCTCTCACTCTCATCCTCTTGCCCAACTCTTGAAGTCGTCCTGGGTGTCAGCCACAGTAAATAATGAGCAAGTTCACAAGGCTAGGAAGTGCAGAAGTCAGGCGTAAAGTCTGCCGCAAGCCATCTGTGAATTTCCTTTCCAGATTGTTTAAGGGCCTCATGCACATAATTCATCACAATTAACATCAGTTTGTCCTGCAGTATTCTGAGCAGTGCTAATTTGTATTCTCTTCCCTTCTTGTCACTGCGTCCTCTTCCTTATGATGAGGAAGAAGGATGGTGTGATATAACAGGTTTGTCATTGTTATAAATAAGTTAGTCTTTCAGTAGAACATTAAGTTTCTCTACAGCAACGTGTCAAATGAGAGACGGATTCTTGCAGCCTCATTCATCATTGTTGTGTTTATTTACTGCTCAGCCTAAAGTTTGAGTTGTGAGCGTTCAGCTGATGCAGTTTTTTGGTGATTAGACAAAGCGTGTTTGTTAAAGACGACTTCAGCTAAGATGTTAGACGTCTCATTGATAGATGCACCTTAACGGCAATACATTAGCACTTGATTTATTGGATTATATAGCCTTAGATAGTTACAATCATGCTGGAGGATTATTTATGATAATATTCACATACACCTACTCTGTTCCACATTCCTGCTGATGTGAAATATGTCCCCAGAGGAGCCTTGAGCCTTTAGGTTCGCTGCTGCTTTTATGTCATAGCAGCATTCACTATGGCAGACTAAGCCTAACAGACAGCGCGATACTCTGACACAGTCCAGCCGTCATCCATCAGTGCATGGAAACACAAAAGCTCTTTCAGTGGTGGCACAATGACTTCAACTCTACTCATCACGGTAACCAGGATGCGAAACGGATATTTCAGGTGTTTTGAAGTAAGGTTGAATGAGTTTCATGTGACTAACATGTGGACAAGCCACAATGGATGCCAGTCAGTTCTGCCTCTTTGATTGGAAACCCTTGCTATAAACAGGAAGTCCAGTATGCTAGTCACTCAAAATTAGCTTTTTGAGAGACATTAGCTTATGTAGCGCCCTGTTTCTACTGCCAGCTTCTCAGTCAAGGGGTCAATCTGGTGGCTAACACACTTAGTAAAGCCATGTAACTCATAAAATCTCACCTAAAAAAATAGAGATATCTCTTTAACTGGTTATGTGTTTGCAGCCCAGTAACCTTATTTAAATTTGTGAGGAGAATTTCGTGGCATTTAACGGACAGAAGGAATCCCGAGAATTCACAAGAACCCGCAGATTCACATGCAATCGCACGATATCAAGTTGTCTTTAGCCACATAGGCTAACCATATGAGCAGTAGATTGTGTCCTTCCAGAGGAGGAAATCGACTTCTAGACTTCTAGAGAAATCAGCATCTCCTCATTCATGGTGTCATCAAGATGAAATGCTGTCTAAAAACCTTTCACCTGTTTGTCTTGCATGGTGTGAAATACGATCTGCCTGAAGCACAGTGTTTTATTTTGAAAAGAAGCCGGATGTTTTATTTTGTGTCTGTGCCCGACTTCCTTTCCAGCACGGGTTAATCTGTGCTGAATTTATCCGGCATGCTCCGGCGTCCGGCGATCAACAGCGGAACGGAAAGAAGCCGGTGGAAACTGACACATCAACTTAAATGGTTACGATCAGCTACGATCGGCGGACACGCCCTTTTCGTAGCCGTTCCGAATGTGGTGCAAATTGCCCGTCAGGCGGTGCTCTGCGCTCTATACAATTTTGGGTCTGCGCTGTCGCGACCTCAAGTAAACCTCACAACGTGATGCCCGACAGGCCCTGCACCTCCCAGAGCAGTGGGAGGAGCCTGCGCATTATTTTTGTAGTTACTTGCTTTTAACACCAGATGGTGCTGCGCTCTTCACAATTTTCAGCCAATGCCGTAGCGATCATTTCCACTTCCCTGTGCCCCACCCCCTCAGGTGGAGAGATGTGAAAAAGCTGAGCCAGCAGGCAGAACAGCACCGTGTTTATGTGGATGTCTGGGTAAGTGTAGTTGTGGATCTCCCAGCTTTTCTGTGACTCTCCAGAACATCCAGATGGCTAGTCGACCTCAGCTGGTGCTGATCAGCATATTTAAATATACAAGCTGAGACAGACATATGGTTGGCATAACTGAGACTATATTGGAGAGGTTTCCTCCTTTTGAAGTAGCATTAACTCATTCTCTTTAGAGGAACTGGGTCAGAAACTACTTTCTTGTCATGTGGCCTCCCTCAGGGATCTTCTCTGAGACCCCTGTATTTTCAATTTCCAAAGCTGGACACATTTCAGTCGTTTCAGCAACATGTCCCACAGTTTTTAAGCAGGCAAACCTAAAATGAACTTGTATGAACTTGATGGGGAATAACTTCATGACATTAGATGCAGATTAAACTCCATTTGATTTATTCAGAAACTTGAAATCAAGGAGAGGCATAATCTCAGAGCATTACAATCAGGACCTAACCATGGCTTTATAAAACCACTTTAGGACACTGACATGGTCTTTGGGAATAACTGAAAAAAGGGGTGCTGGTGTATTTCTTTTGTTTTTTACTCACTTGGTCTGGACTAATGCAAATCTCTTGGTATCTGCATAAAAAGATCAACACTCAGACTTTTACTTCGCATCCTGATTGCTGTTGCTCGACTTTTATCGTACTGCTTTAGATGGACATACGTACATTCTACTTTTATCGTATTGCACTGGCTTTCAACTGTGTTCATTTTTTGCAGCTTACAAACAAGACTCTTCACATACACTTGAGCTTTCTATATTAAGGATTCCCTTAATCTTTCCTTTCTTTCTCCCTCCTTTCCTCTCTGTCTTCCTCTTTTCCTTCCTTCCTTCCTTGTTGCCTTGTTGGCAAAGGGCTGAAGAGCAATTACTGATGCTGCAGATGTGTCCCACATCATGTTTGACTTTTAATGAGTTCAGTTTAAAAAAAAAAAAGAAAAAAGTGGATCCTGGTTGTGATGAAAACTCGACTTTAACGACGGAGAGAACTTCATCAGTGTTGCTCTGAATTGTCGGAGGATTGCAGCAGGAGAACTAAATCTAACAGCAACATGATGATTGGCACACAGAGGAGGTTCCTGTGATTGGTTTGTGAACAAGTGACTGTCTTCAGTTTTCTGATTGGCAGATTTTTGAAAACAAGAGACAAAGATAGATATGTAAATGAAAAAGGAACATGAAAATAATAAAAGAAACACTTTTTTCTGTAATTTTCTGTAAAGCTTTTGGAATTGGAATTTGTTTCTACACTTGCAGAGGTTCTTGTTTTAAGATCCTTTGTGAAATTGTAGATTTTAGTCCATTACAGCATGCTAGTTGTATAAAGTGCTACTTGAAGTTTTCCTGTGAGACTTAGACTAAAACTGCCTTTTCTTCATCCCCCTCACCCTCCTTTCTCTTTCCCTCTGCCAACATTTGAAATATTCGTGGAATAAAAAATAGAAAATGTGAGTGACATGACTTATTTTTGTGGCATCAGAAGACAAGAATGATGCATGATGGAAAATTTGTGCTGGTGCCCTTTCATTTATTGCAAACGCTGGCCTTTGGCAACATATAAATACATAGAGTAACAATCCAAACTGAGTGGATGGTTCCTGAGGAGGGAAGTCTCAGGGCGTATTTATTTAATAGCTTACTTGCTGGAGGATTATTAATCAAATTGCTTTTTTTAACATTAAAAAGCTGCTGCATAATCTGAGTAAACACATTGTTGGGAATAATTAAATCCTTAATTATATTTTGCTTTTAAAGATTTAAAAGCAGAGGACATTTTCTCTGTAAAGATGTATTAAGATATTTAATAAGACTGTTCAGCTCAAGTTTTGAAAAACAATTAATTGCATTGAGTTCCAGATTGCAGAGCGAGTATTTTACTCTCAAACTTCCTATGTAAAAAATAAATTAAAGTTTTCTTTCTTGAGGAAAAGAAATCAACACCTTGCAGTAAGCATGCAGTGCTTATTGTGAGAGTACATTAGTGGGAAAGGTGGTAGGCAGACAGACTAAGGAGTTGACGCTTATTACCAGGTAATACTGCTGTTTCTAAATGGGGCAGCTCTGAGGGTTTGCCATTAAGAATCTCACTTTTGCTGCAGCAAGCACTCACGACTCTGTGAGACATGCTCTCTGCAGGCAGGGAAAATGCTGCTCACTGTGACCGACGTTTAATGGTTTCATTTCTTATTGAAAACATGTACCATGAGCACAAGTACAAAGAAAAATGAGCAGATGCCATGAGACCTGAGACAGGTTATCCAATCAGAAAGAAATGCTCCGACAAAATGTGGTTGAATGTGGCTTCATTCATATTGCTCCATGACCTCCAGTGCATACATTTCAGACCGTTTAAGAAGAGCTTTATAAACGCTTCAATTAGCTGCCGTCTCTTTAAGGCCCCTCGCTTCATGAGCCTACTTTCTTCTGATTTGCCACCTTTTCAGAGGTGCCAATGGGTGTCAAATGTGTCACCTATAGACTGTATATAGTATGGACATCGTGGCTTCATTAAACCATTGCACGAATTTGAAGCCAAATTGCTCTTAGTATTTCCAGGACTTTCTACATTTACTAAAACCAGCATATGCACAGTAGTGTCACACGGGAGAGTCGCTGCAATGACGCTCTGCTTAAACAGCATATCCTCGGGATTATCTACGCAATCTTCATACGCCCATAGGCTGTATCAAGTGTCAATCATAGAAAACATGAACCCCCTAATGACTTTTAGAAATAGAGCTGCACAGAAAAAAGAGGACTTGAGCACAAACCAGTCTCAAAGTAACTACATGTCAACATCACAACCAGGGAGGAGAAAAAATTATATTCTGTGTAATTAAATTCTAAAGTTTGTCCACAACCCCATAGGGACTGCTGGAGGAGGCAGGATTTATGACCTATACTGCAGCCCGTCACCAGAGGGTGCTGTTCTCAGGTTTCTAGGATTATGACAACATATGTTTACCTAATGATTTTAAACTCTGCATACGTCTAGTCCAAACACCAAACATTGTAGCTTTGCATTTTTTGTTGTAAATGTGGAAAAGCATGATAGCACTCCTTTAACCAAACCTTAAATATCAACAATTACATCACGAATGAGCATGAAAGCAAAATTTACTGATTTATGCACCTATTAGCACACTCATATGTGACATTTTATCACAGTATAATTCATACACTGTGCACAGAATTCAGATAACTGTAAGTCCACTTAACCTCATCGACTATCTATCTAACCAGAGAGCATCAACAAACAATCTTGTGCCTTTTACAGTTTGGTCATGTGAGTTCTGCTGACCCAATCCAAAGTTTTCTCCCTCAAAATAATAGAGAAATGTGAAATGTATGAGTGGAAGACTTTAAAAGACTAAGATGCTTGACAGACTGTTATGTCTTTTTATAAAGGGTTATAGCTTGCATGGGAATAAGTAAGTCATTTCACAGAGGCAAAAAGCACAGTAAATCAATGTTAAAACACTCTAACTCGACAAGTTTCAAAGAGCAAATCAACCTAAAAAGAAACTATTGAGTGTGGTGAGGGCAGGCTGTGAAAACTAGCACCAGCAGAGGGTGAGGTGCTCTTCCAAAGCTCTTATTGTTTCCAGATTGGAGCCAGCAGGCCAGAACCATTTGTGAATTGGGCTCTTTGACCACTTCAGTTGGATTTCCCAGCATGACTTTGGATTGGTTATTGTTTGTTCCTTTTAAAGACAGAAAATTGTCTCTGCACAAGCACCTCGCTGGTCCAAAACAATTTCTTTTTAGCGAGGTAAAAGTCAGATGTGAGGTATCACGTGCTTCTCAGGGGGCTGTTAAGGTAGCATTAGACTGAACAGACTCTCAGAGGATTTTCTCTTCAAGCACCGGATGGTCAGTGTTCTTATTATTCCTCAGTGTGCTGAGTTTAACTTTACTTTCAAACACACACACTCTTATCTGAAACATTATCTCGACTATCAACTTTCTAATTCACCTGGGGCTGTTTGCAAACACTCAGAAAGTACATTGAGAGGGCTTTGCAGTACAATCTTCAGCAAGCATCTTAAGATTAGAGAAGTGCAAAGAATCAGAGTAACACGGTTGTTGAGGAAATTGCTGTTTAAAGTCCTTGTTACTGCTCTTCAGCTTCAACTGGGTTTCTGGGTAATAAAACCAGAGACTTCTATATTGACTTCTGTACCGAAATATTGAACCTCCTTTTTTTAATGAAAGAAATTTGTTTAGTCCTGCAGCACGGACTGTTTGATACATTGCTGTAGTCTGTGACAACATTTATGGTTTTAAAAAAGGCGTTTTTGTGGACCAACTGTTGTATTTAATGAAAATGTTGTATTAAGTAGAAGTAAGGTGCGATTTTAGCCCCTTGAATAAGAGCTATAAGTCTGAGTTTTTTCAAAATATTTTGGCATTTTATATGACTTTGAATAAACTAAAATGTTTTTTGTTAATAGTGTGAAAAACTGTGTATCTACTACCACCCTACATAAGTCAGTGACCCAGTTTGGCCATCCATGAATGCCCCTGACCCCCAAGTTACTTATCATTATCTTTGGGGAAGCAGGAAAATGAAATACTACATGTGACACAGCTGCTGACATGCTGGCTTTAAAGCTCCAGCTGCGTATAAAATAAAACAAAATTCAAATTGATGCCTATTTATGATTGATAGAAGCAAAAGAGACCCTTCACAATAACAAAGACCATTTTAAAGCTGAATTTTTAAACAGGAGCAGAGGGTCGGCTGAGCAGCTGAAGAAAGTGTTTTTGCGGTTTTTTTTGTTAGAGGAGACTACTACATGCATGAGACACACAAACACTGCTTTGTCCACAGGGTGCGCCCAAAATGTAACCATGTAACATTAGATGGTATTATGGGTGCTCACAGGCTTATCATTTTTCATGTGCCTGTAATTTTGACAAATTTAGCACCAAACACAATGGTGGCTGATGGAAAATTATGTCTTGCAAAATATCAGTATGAAATCGACTGAAACCATCCAAAAAGCGCTGATTGTATTTATCCTGGGCTGACCAGCAAACACTCCGACATCCATGTCGTAATTTACTGCAATTACCTCTTTTGTACTGTTGCTTGAACCAGGAGCATTTCATAATCACCCAGAGTTGGGAGTTCTCCAGTCAACAACATGGTTCCTACAGGAAATAATCAGGACTTCTTCTCCTACAAGCCTTTACGCCAAATAACACTTCCCTTTTTTAAACTGTCTCCACTATCAGCTGCTTTTGTTCCTGCTTGGCTCAGCAGCGCTCTGTCATCATCATCTTGGCTTCCAGGTAAGTGGTTTCATGCCATTTTCAGACAGCTGTATGATTTCTTTGGGAGGTCTTTAAGGTCCTGATTTAGAGGGCAGGACAGTGGATAGAGTGAGAACTAAGAGGAAAAAGAGGGTTGGGGTGGACCACAGGGTAATAGTTTGGATTTGGTCCTGAATCACCTGCTCTGTGGACTTTATTCCCTGTACTTCAGAGAAGCAATTTGACCGCTGTGCGCAAGTGGCACACCAAAATCAGCCATTTCAACCTGGCAGAAGTCAATGGACATTTCAACTCCAATCAAAAGTATTACAGTTTATATGTGCGCTTGAATTGACATTTACTTAAATCAGAACTGAGAGGGGGGATTTAGAACTCAGAAGGGGTTTTATTGCCATTGTCGATGAACAGGATTCACAGACTAGGAATCTGTTTCGGCATGATGGTGCAACATTAAACAGAGAGTAATATAAAATACTAGAATAAAACAAATAAGAGCATGCAAGAAAAATATGAAGTATAAAAGGCTATGTACAACTACACAATACAGAACAAAAGTGCGATGGGAGGAGTGCGGTTAAAAATCGAAAGTAACTAAAGTGACCAGTGATAAAGTGACAGAGTTATAAAGTGTTCGTGAGTCCAACGGCAGAGGGGAAGAAACTGTTCTCATGGCAGGAGGTTCTGGTCAAATAGTCCATGGATCAGCTGTGATCCGACCTGCTCGGCCCCGGGTTCTGGATACGTACAGGTCATGGAGAGATGGAAGGCTACAGCCGATCACCTCCTCAGCAGAGCCCACAATGCGCTGCACTCTGTGTCTGTCCCTGGCAGTGGCCCGGCGTACCACACCACGATGGAGGAGCTGAGGATGGACTCGATGATGGCCGTGTAGAACTGCACCATCAGCTGGACCGGCAGGAGTACATCCTCTGCTGGGCCTTCTTGATGAGGGAGCTGATGGTTGGCTCCCACTTGAGGTCCTGGTGGTGATGGTAGTGCAGAGGAAGCGGTAACAGTCCACAGTGGTGATTGCGGAGTCGGTGAGGTCAAGAGAGGGCAGGGGGGCTGTGGCTTTCCATGATCATCTCCACTGTCTTCTGGGCGTTGATGAGGAGGAATTTTAACTTTTTCCTCTCTCTCTCTCTCTCTCTCTCTCTCTCTCTGTACGAGTTTTCTTTCTCTCTGCACAAGCTTCTTTCCTTTAAGTGCCATATTTCTTTCATTCCTCTTCTAAAGTCAGGTAGTCGTCTTACTTCTGCTCCGATGAATTTCTTTTTCTGGGAATCAATAAAGTTCTTGTATTGTGTTGTGTTGTGTTGTATGAGTTATTTATCTTTTGGGTAATTCCAGAGTCCCAGAAAATATCTAGTGAAGAACAAGTAAGATATTCATCGCAACAAATTGCTAAGAAAATATGAGGGGCTGGGATAAATTCTCGTTGTTTTCACCTGGATTATAATCAGTGCAGTCTGAGTATTTTCAAAAGAGTTGTTAGATTTCACCTGCAGGAAATTCTGTGTGAGTGTTTTCCCCTGCATAGAGGCGAAGCATGGGCATGGAGGTGGATAAAGCCCTCTAATGTTTTGTTCATGTTCCAGCAAAGGCCTTTTTTTTGGCTGTTGAGGGTGATATGATCCCCCTGACCTCATGTACTTCACTTTAGCTCTCTGGAGCCTTTTTGTCCAGGTCTGATTCCCTGCATCTTTACCTCTTTCTGCCAGTCAATCAATCTCAATCTTCCTCTCTTTCTATGCTCTGTATTCTGTCCTGTGGCAGTAAAGATCCCAGAGGCAGACTGCAGGAGACGAGCAGCTCTTGTGCAGTAATAGCCTATTACAAGTCATTTTTCACACACAGTGTCACTGGTTCCCGGCTAGTCGTGCCATTCAGTCACTCTGTGAATGGAGTCACATAATCAACAGAAAATGGCCAATTCAACAGCAAGACATCCAGTCACACACAAACACACTCACATACCAACAGAAAACAGCCTAAATAATGCCTCCACCCCTCCTCTGCTCGTTCTTCTTACAGTTCACCCAAAAGCCCAATCTCTTCCAGGATGACTTTGACTTTTCTGGAAGTTTGCAGTGACTGTAACGAAACTCAGAGCTGCTAAACTTTTATCACTTAATAATAATGCAACATTGCATAGTACTTATTTAGTGTAGGAGTCTAGATAATCAATTGATAGTGTTTTTAAAATGGCCACCACTGACAACCAATGAGAAGCTCTTGATGGCCTAAACTGATGAGGTTACCCGTTTTTAATAATTTCAATAATTTCTTGTGTGTGTGTAAGTGTATATATGCACGATGTATATGCTTTCCACATATACATGCCTCAACCTTCTTGAAGCTAACAGCAAGGGTATGGGACAACAACAAGCTCACAGTCCACACTAAGGTGCAGGTTTGCAGAGCCTGCATCATCAGGACTCTCCTGTACGGTAGCGAAACCTGGACCTTATACTCCCACCAGGAGCGGAGGCTAAGCAGTTTCTACCTCTGCTGCCTCGGACGTATACTGGGCATCACCTGGAGGGACAGGATCACTAACCAGGCAGTCCTGGAGAAAGCACAGCTCCCCAGCATGCAATCTATACTGAGGCAGAGACGACTTTGCTGGCTGGGCCATGTCTGTTGGATGGACGACGGACGGATGCCAAAGGATATCCTCTATGCAGAGCTAACATCCGGCAAGAGGCAGATTGGATGCCCCCAGCGACGCTACAAGGATGTCTGTAAGCAAGACCTTAGGACGCTCAACATCAGCCCGTCAACTGGGAAGATGTGGCTCAGGACCAGCTCCAGTGGCAACAGGCACTCCACAGTGGACTGCTGAAGTCTGAGAACACTCTGGCTGAACACTAGGAAGTGAAGAGAGTGAAGAGAAAGAAACAGCAGGGCTCCATCACACCATCAACATCTTCGGGACCGGTCTACACCTGTGACATCTGCCTCTCACACATTGGCCTCCACAGCCAAAGGAGACGCTGCCTTAACGCCTAACTCTTAGGCACAAGGAATCAATGGTCTTACGAGACTGCGACGCAGATGATGATGCTTTCCACTGGATATACCAATTCTAACAGAAATCACTTTCGTTGATACACAAAAATAACAATAAAAAGTTCTGACTACAATTGTTAAAATCTCTTTTTTTTCCAGAGAACTGTTCAACTCCTGTGCAGGCTATAATGTTTTCTCATGTTCCAGTCTTCTTCAAGCCCCTGGCCTGTCAAACTACGCTTACTCACCGGAGTAGCATCAAAGTCCATCTGTTCAGTGTAAAACCCATCACTCATGCTGCGGTGGATCAGACTGGGACTTTGTTGAGATCACATATAGGGCAGGTGTACATCTGCAAAACGGTGGTGACTCAAGATACTGCTCCAGCTATGTCATCAGCTGGTAAAATCATTGATCTTCTCCTTTGGAGAGAGGTGAGTCACCAAGCGCTCCTGCTGCTTCCTCTGCTCTCTTCAAAACGTCTTTGTAAGGATGACAACTCTTCACCGCTGAATCTCATTGTTGTGTGGAGCTTTTTACTCCTCTCTGAGTACTTGTGACACATTACATAAATACCGATCAAGATATGTCCTCCCTTAAAAGAGTGAGTAGTATCCACATGGGTGAGGCCATTTTTACACATTTACCTGCTTGTTGCAGCTGCTCTCATTCTTCCCTGCTGCTGCTTAAAGGCAGAAAGTCTACCACCACTTAATGTATGGAAATGTGTCCGCTCATTACTGAATTCAACTTTAATTGTTCTTTTTGTTGGAGATAGATTCATGTCGTTGAAGTTATTTTACCATTTAATTTTCCTAAGGGAACCTTCCCAAGAGGATCAATAAAGTTCTATCTAATCTAATTACTAAGGGTAAAATATTCCATTATTTGAGCTGATATATATCACACTGCGTATTTATACTGCACCCCTAATATTTTAATCTGAGTGTCTATTTTGGTGTTCTTAGAACAATAAGGATTTAGACCCCACCACAAATCATGAAAACATAACATATGTAGATAAATCATAAATAAATAAAATGTAAAAAACAAACAAACATAAAACCAGAGGTCCTGTTGAGGTTTCATTCCAATAATCAAATTTTGAAGTACTCACAACAGCTTCTGCAACCTGTGTGCAGAGCTCAAACAATACAAAGCATCACAATCCAATATGAAAACAAAACACAAAAGTTTTAGTGCAGGTTTAACTCAGAGGAGTAACTCTAAAATAATGATTGCACTGGGATTACTGTATTTCTACTTTATTCTTCCATTTGTTCTAACACAGTTTTTCTGCATTTCACTGATGTTGGTTATGATGTCTCAAAAATGGCACAAACTGTAAGTCATGGGATTCACTGTAGTTGATGAATTCCACTTAATTGTACTTATTTGGACTATAATTGGTGTGCTGGTGTCTGAGTATGATGGATAACACTGATGTCTAACAATACACAGGAGCAAAGAAGAAAATGCTGTCCTCACTTTAGTTAAAACCATAGTTTCAAACTTCTACTGTCAGGAAATTAAAAAGAAATTGGGACTTTAAAAAGCAAGCACTGACTAACTTAGAGTGAAGTGGTGAAGGCTGATGCTTCTCAGTGAAAGGATCCTGAGTTCAAGACCAGGGTGGAGTCGCACCTTGTGAACCTACAAAAGAACCCTGATCTCACATCCTTGCTACTCTGTGGTTTTGAACTTTATCAATTAGAAAATAAAATTAAAAAGCACCAACAAAAGCAAGCCCTGCCGGGCAAACTTGTAGTTCAATGGTGAAGGCTGCTGCCCCTCCATGAAAGGATTCTGGGTTCAAATGAAGGACAGCAGTGCTCCATGGAGAAAACTGCTGTTCTTACTGCTGTGCTTAATGAAAGACGAAAATAAATAAATAAATAAATAGGTAAACTAAAAAAAAGACCCGTAGGAAATATCATAGGTTTAAACAATTCCATCCCTGAGAGGGAAAGTTCAAGTGACTTTGGTGATTCTCTGCTTTCTACCACCTGTGGGCCGCTGCATGGGATTTTTAACACTGAATCTCCAGACTAATAAATGGATTTAATCTGTATGGCTCTGATCTGCATGGCTTTTGTTGGTGTGCAAAGACCTAAATAGTGTAAAGTGTTTATTGTATGCTAATGTTGAAATTTAATCTGAAGATCCTCTGCCTACTGATGTCAGTGTGGTTACTTTAAAACATTAAGGTGGTTGATTCAAAAGAAACTTAAACGGCGCTTAATGCAGAAACTTCACATAATCGCTGGAAGAAACCTCCTCCAACTCATTTTGTATGGAGGCAAATATTTACACTCACTGCGGTTTATTTTCCAATGAGTACTGCAATTAAAGCATACAATTAAAAGTTTAATTTAATTTGGCATAATATAGGCTCTGAAGCTGCACATTAACGGCCCTCTCACATTAATCTTTCTTCATCAATTATTCAGCCGCTCCCTTGAGTAAAACGGTAAACGCAGCACTCATACATCTCTGCTCTCTTCAGTCCTTCCCCCTCTCTGTCTTCATTTGTCTCTTCATCTCTTTTCCCACCTCCAACTCAATCGAACATTCTGCTGTTGTTCCCCTAGTTTCTGCCTCTTTAACTGCCTCCCAGCTACAAACAATCCACTTTGGATGAAATTGAAGCCTCACGAACAGAGTGATTATAGGTTTTTCAGACATCTATTGTCTCTCCTTGGCTTTGACTAAAATCGCCTTTTTAAGACAAACGTTTTTTTCGTGAATATATTGGGATTTGGGTAATTTCCTGATAATCTAGGTTAAATACAAGGTTTTCAATGTGAGCATTAACCAACTCTATAGTAAATAACATTTTAAACCTGGTTGTTAAATACTTGACTCTAATTTTTCAAAACCGTCTAACAATAGTGTTTTATTTCTTCACAGCAAAGCGTTGCCAGGGACAACCGGATCCCTCGTGAAAAATCAAGTCTATCTGTTGAGAGAAGTCTTCACATTTCACCTTTATCTGCTGGCACTGCCACAAAAAATGTCAGTTTCCATTATAATTCTAAGTAGTTCAACAACACAATGGGTGGTTTAGTACTTTGAATTTTTAAGGAGACCCTTAACAATCGCCGTCCAGTGAGTAGAAAAAATGGAAGAAGAGAAGACAACATAATGGCCCAATGCCAAAAACCCATTTGTGTTTCTTATATAGAGGATTATGCTGGATGTTGAGTGGGCCCATACAGGTCCCACATTGTGTTCACCGTTCCAACCTACGCCCATAAGCCTTTACAAATTCTATCTTGGGCCAAGGTAGGCCATATGGGGCCTATGCTACAGGTCCCTCATAGTGATACCAGTTTTGCTCATTTAGCCCAAGACTTCTAGGATCCATAAACTTAGCCCAGGTCCACTTGACACCCACATCTAGCCAACAATGAGCCCATATGGGGCCAACATGAACTGGGTGGTTATGAGACAGGAAAACGCCAATATTGTCTGAATTGTCCTCATCAGTGACCTTTTCACATTTCTTACCTTTTTCTGGTTTTGTCATTTTGCCTAGTGTAACAAATTACCACACTGCGGAAGAAGAAGTTAAAAAATATTTTTGCATCAGTGACTTTTGCTGATGATGGCTTGAGGTAACATACGTCAAAAGAGCTCCAAGGCCAGTGATTACATGACATAAACTGAGGAGGCTTCCACTGCTGGACCATAATCCTTTTCTCTGCAGTCAGGCCTGCCTGTCAGATTTTGTGTATTTTGACCAGGAGGGAGAGGTGATAGTCATCGTTTAGATGATTTAAAGCAAGATCCAGTCGAGTCTGTGTTTCTGTTCAGTGTGTAATAGTATTAACTCTGCCCCCATAATTCAATGACCCCCAGACAAAATCCAAACAACGTGTATAAAAGAGCCAAGAGTTCCCGGAGGGCAAGATGAACAATATGGGTAAGATACCAATCCCATTTGACGTCTTATTCTTGGTGTAATATATTCTTTATGAAAAGATTTCAAATGTGCGTGGTGATGACTCAGGCCTCTGAAAGCACCAGTGACATTTCTGTACCCCACTTGAAATCTTTCCTCCATTCAGACACGTCTTTATACATTTCCTTTATTCCTGCTGTAGGTGTGCATTTCCCAGAGTTTATCTTATGATAGATATATGCCACTATCCGCCTCAGGGCCACCTACATCCAGCTTTAAAAGAGATGGTCTTTTAAAATCTGCTCCTCAGGGGAAACCTGGGGTTGGCTTTACATGCAGACCTCATTCTATAGTACAAGAAAGGAGAGTGTTTATCACTATTAAAGCTGGTTTCCAATCCAGGCTGCGACCTACGAAGGCTGCATATCAAAGGCCGCCCCATTTGATATGAAGTGTCCTACTTTTCCCAGGCTGTGAAGGCTGCATTAGGTGCATCCTTCTTAGCGCCACTTATACCATGATTGTTTGCATTAATACAATCAAGATAGCAGTCTCTCAAACTGCAGAGTAATACCCTGTTAAATATACTATTTTGTTTTAACTCAGTATTGGGTTGTACAAATGCTTTAAAAGACAGACTAAGTGAAATCTGAAATGATCTCCAAACAGTTGGTAATGTTGTTAAAGTTACATGATGGTAGCTATGTCAGCTGGTTGACCGGGTAGCTGCTTGTTGCTATGTGATGCCATCATCAGGGTAGGGACACCAGCCCAAAATCCTCTGAAGGGTAGACTATGAGGGTAGACTTAGGGAGAGCTGGACGAAGTGGATGGGGAGAGAAAAGTCTGAGCTTCTCTGTTTTGGCTGCTGCCCTCACAACCTGCTCTGGATACTCGGCTGAAGATGGATGGATGAATGAGTAGACCATCTTAATACAGTTTGGTCTGACCACTCCACGCAGGTCACAGCGGAGGATGTAATAGTCCCATCTCCCCAAGTCTTGTTAAAGAACTGCAATTAGGAAATGGCTTTTTCTTTTTCTCTATCATAACAGAGTTGACCTGCACCATGCGTTTTTAAACATGAGAAGGGTTTTCCAAAACCTTGCAGCATATGAGCAATAATTTGCCTGTGAAATAAACCACTTTTTGCAGATGTACCTCCAAGTAGAAAATCAAATAAACTAACTCATGCAATTAATCTTTCTGAATATATTCTTCCATGATGAAACTTTCTCCCTCTCCGTCTAATCGCTGAGACTTCTTTACACTGTGGTTTAGCTTAAATCTAGACATGCCAAACCCATATTTGTCTTTTTACTTTGGGTGAATGACCGCTCTTCGCTGAGTTGTTTACTGTTCCAAACATGGCACTGTAATAAAGAATCAGATCCTGGTGGAGCAGGTGGGACCATTGAGCTCATACAAGAGGTTAATTTTGATGGCTGATACACCGGCTGGGACTGGAACTAGCAGATGCAGACATCTTTAAATATCTTTTTCTTTTTCTCACAATTAAAGATTTGTGATTAGTCTGACGGGAAGTAGTTATTTAAAGCGAGAAATCTTTACTGGGTGCACAAATTAGATAAAAGTCAGCTGCAAACAAACCAGAACAGGAGTCATGGTTAGACATCCCTTACTGCTTCACTGTTCATCCTTAAAATCTGGCCACCATTCCCAGAAGCTCAGGTGTGTGTAAGTATGTAAATAATTGATCTCAGTGTGAAGCCTACTTTAAAATATGAGCACAAAGGTGACAGTCAAGATGCAGCTTCATCAGACAGCTGAATAGTTTGTCATCACAGTCCTGGGCATCACCCATGAGAGGACAAAGACAGTGGAACAATGTTATGACAGCAGCTGTGACAGCAGGGAAATGCCAACAGTAGACACAGGCATGTTATTGTAAGCCCCTAGGTCTGCCAGATGCACACTCAAGACGTACCTTCTGCCACATTGTTATACCTGCACAAGTCCATATCAACACCCACAGAGACAGATGCAGCCTGTAGAATACATCCCAACATGTCTGCCCTTTTATCAGACGGAGATGCAGAGTTATTTCAGGTGAAAACCCTGTCAGAGCAAACAGTCTAGATGGAGCACAGCAAAGAAAAGTTGGTTTAAGACTTAATAGGCTGGGAAACATTCCGTCTCTCCCCTTTTATAGTCTTTTGATGCCTATCATTAAATTGACACCAGCCTTTCATTTTCATTTCACTGCGAGATTCTGTCTGAGCCAGCTCCAGTGCACTCCCGATGTTTGTACCTGACTCTGAGTGCAGGCAATTTTTCAAAACAGGAAGAAACACAAATTGAATTAGAACAACAGCTCTAAAAAAAAGTAATTTAAGGTCAGTGAACTCTTATGTTCGTCATCAGTATTGAGTTTGGAAACATTCATGCTTGAACTTAGAAGGACTGAGAGTAGGCCTGTCACGATAACAAATTTTGCTGGACGATAATTGTGCTACAAATTATCGCCGATAAACGATATTATTGACACCGTTTTTTAAATTATAGATAATATTATATGGCATAATAATGCGAGTACACCGTGTCAAAAGTGATAAACTTTAATTTCCACTGTCTGTCAGCGCGCACCATTTTGCGCTGTTTTGTTTATATTTGCTTTGCTTACCAAACGCTTCAGTAAGCGGTACCTCCGGCGGTACTTTTTCTGCTCATTTGAGAAAAATGGAGGGGATGATTGTGCTTGAGGTGCACGTGCAAGTTCGTCGTATTCCCCTTCTTTGTCACCACAACTTTGGAACAAATACGACATATCGTCTCGTCCGTATTTGTGGGCTCACCTCTTTCATTTGGTTTAAAGCAGTGTTGTTTTCGTCATATTTCGTCAGATATTTTCGTCAACGCCAGCGTCAAAAAAGGGAAATATTGACTAAAATATTTCCCTTTTCTTCCACGACGAAGACGTAACGTTGACGAGCTAAACGTAAGTCGGAGATGACTAAAATGTGACGAGACGAAAGTGCGTTTACGTTGATGGGACGAGACGAAAATGATGAACAGAGTTTCAAAACTCAGTCAGTTAAACACTAAACATATAGGAGCAGCTTCAGTCCGCTCTGACAGCTCTCATCAGCCTGCTGTGCTCCTCCAACACACAGACACACACGCGCGCACACACGTGGAGTTTTGTGGCTGACGAAAACAAAACTGGTTTAAAGCCGAAATATACCCACACTTGGGCTGTTGCATTCGGTTTAGACACCAAAGCTGTCGTGTTCATTCTGTTTGCTTGCTTTTCACTCACGACGCTCACTTGCAGCACTGTATCCAAAAGTCTGTGTCTGTGTGCCTGTGCGCGCCTACGTGTACCTGTGTGCGCGCCCCCTCGTGACAAAGACACTGAATGACTGACAGGAGGGTTCACTAACTCCGTTCATTCCGCTATAGAGCCAACGCCCCCAGGTGCCGAGAAAAATGCGCAGAGTGAGACCTCTTCTCTCATCCAGCGTCTTTGGTAGTGAGAGAGGAGGAAAACAAACGCACGTCAATTATCGAGGCTTTCAAAATGACCGACCTCGTTTTTATTTATCGAGCGATAAGGCGATTAATTGATTATCGCGACAGGCCTAACTGAGAGTCTGAGTTTTTCCAATTTGCCAATGTAAGAGTTGATTTTGTTGATGTAAAAAGGGATATGTGGCAACCATAGACTGTATATAGAATAGACAAAGTGACTGTCAAAAAAGCACAGAACTTTTAAGTTATACATTTAATAAGATTTCACATTATGAAGATTTAACATTCATGTGATGTTAAATTTATGCACACAGCTCATCTTACACTACAGTGGCATATCGTATACAAGGTTGTTGTGGAGAATAAACTTACCATATTAGACTGTTCATTCACTTTGACAGGTTAATCCAATAGCACCCCAGTTTAATGTGATGCATTTTTCCCCTCTCTTCCCAGTATGAGTTAATGGGTACGGCTGGTGCATTGTGCGTGCACAAAATAGCACTTTGATGCATGGCTGCAATTTAAAATAATCAAATTGAGTTAGGTGGATGAAATTACATGATTACTAGAAGACGTGCCAATGCACTAGTAAACGAACTGGAAAAAAAAAATAAAAGCACTGAAACACATTACCAAAAGTAAGGTAAGCATCTCATAGAGATTTCTGGGTACTTCCTGTGAGATGTCTTAAAGTTTTAGGTACCTCCCAAGTATGCTCTTCTTCTTTTTCTGTGCATTTTATGCAAAATCTGCAAAAAACATGCTGGCAAGGACTTTTGCTGATGACAAATCCATCCAAGTGATGAGTCTACAAGCTCCGGCTCTACTCAAAAAAAATAAAAAATAAAATAAAAAATAGAATAAAAAAAATTGATTGGTGCTACACACAAACAAAAGACAAACAAACAATAAAATATGTCATCAGCAAATAAATACAAGTCATCTTCTGTATCTACCAATTTGTCATTTGGCTGTGCCACTTGGCTTTCTGATTAGTGTGTTATAAAGAGGGCATACGCGATAGATTGACCATGCCCTTGGTTATTTTCACTTTTTCTCAACGCTTATGACTTCTAGACCTGTGGTAATAGGTGCGCTGTAGCCCATCTAAAACAGAAAAAAGAGAAAGATCCAGCTGGACAGCGAATTAGAGAGTGTAGAGAGCAAGAGCTGCAGACAACCTGAAGACAGAAGTGCCCCCATAAAACTCCAAATCACACACTGACAAGGGTTTAACATGTGTCATTGGTCAGCTAGATTAAGATTGGGGTTAATAGCAGGTCAGACACTATTTGGCATCATTTAACTGATGTTTCTGTAGAGGCTGGGATTTAATTTATTTTATTGATGTTTCAACTGCATTTAACCATCTCATCTAAATAGAAAAGATGGAGATAGAAAGCAAGAGGGGGGAAGAAAAGAGTACTGCCTCATGGCCATGTGAGACACACATATGCAGCTAAAATGACAGCTGGAGAAATAACCACTGAATTCTAGAGGCAACACTAGTTTAGGGACTTTAACTCAGAGTCTCATGTTTAGACACTTTAAGTGTAGTGTTCATGAAGTCGGATAAGCATCAGTGTCAGTGGAGGTCCTGGCCCTTGTTGATAAAAGCAACTGCAGTTTGGGAGAAACTGTTTTTTGCAGGATGAGAGTTTGGGCTTTCTGGACGGCAGCCTGGAGGTCCAAGGTTAGTTTTAAAAAGTTTATGGCGAAGGTGGAAGAGCTTGGAGATAATCTTCCCTTCTTGCCTTAGGGTCCTGAAGGATGAGAGGTCTCAGAGAGGTGGCAGATAGCACCCATTCACCTCTGCAGCAGAGGGAATAACACGCGAGGCAGAGATGGAGCTTGGCTGAGCCCGAGGAGGGGCGGTGTTACCCAAAACTGGCAGTGTTCGGGTGTGATTCAAGCAAAAAGGTTACCACAAACAAACATCAACAATAGGTGTTTCTACCAGACTTGAATACGTGCAGCACAGTCAAATGAACATGGGGTTTAAGATGTCTAAGACCCTTTTACTAAATATCTCACTGCCAATAGTTTTCAGAGCAATATGTGGCACATCATAAACTGAGAGAGGAGGTGAAACCTGTAGCATAAAAACAAAGGTCTGCAGTTATAGGAGTTGCTCTGTTGAGACTAACTTGTGCAGTCTTACTATTGTTTCTCTTGTTCGCATTAAGGCACATCATTAATCCAGTGAAAGAATGATGAAGGCTCAGCATCTACAGACTACGTTTGATTCTGTTTTTAGGCTTGGTCTTAATTGATGTAGCTGGTATTTGAGTTGAGGATTGAAGAGTTGATTGGGATCCACACCTTACCTTTAATCAATATAATGAATTCTAATTTGTTTCTCCCAAAAACATCATTATGGGACAGTGTGGGATGTGGAATTTAATCACAGTTCTTCACTATTAAGATAAATGGCAAGACTTATTTAGCCCAAGTGGTACATGGAGCCAATTTGAAAATGCAAAGGACACTGTCCTCAGGTGTTCACTTGAGGCCCCCTTCAAATACCAAGGAAACCTCATAGGAGTCTAAAAAAAACACAGAGAGCCCACTGTACAATTAAAGAAAACTCTGAATCAGCTCACTTCCCCAATTAAGATTTTTCTGAGTTATGGCAGTGAGGAGTGGGGGCCTATTATGAATCATGGCAAATGTCTTGGGACACAATCCCAACCAAGAAATAGAGACAAGTAAGGAATGATAAGGGAGGCTGGCTAATTTATATTTGGACAAGGCAAGCACTAAAATAACTTTCTCAGATGTAGCCATTTTGTTTCTGCCTCCGATTTTGCTTTTTTCAGACTTGGCAACTGAAACGCTGGTAACTTGGGTGTGACGTCATTTTCAGCTCGGACTTCTGACTTCCAGGGTAGTTGGAACGCAGCATTTAATGACAATTACGACGACAAATATCCTTCAACAACCCTCTTTTCCAAGATGAAAATGAGACAACGATGAGTTTACAAAGGTTAAAGACAATTATGGCAAAATCAACGAACAAAGCGGTGGCTCAAAAAAAGTCACAATTTCCAATCCCCACCATCAGACTTCGAAACACCTCAAACTACTAGAAGGCCTCACTGGCCATGCTTCACACAGTCTATGATTAGCCTAATATTAGGTTGTATCGAGATACATGCTTGGCACAACAAAACAGCATCATATTACACTTTGTTGGATGAGCTTGACAGCTAAAGTCCAAAAACTCAACGGTTTAACACCCCAGGCTTTGTTTTATTGCTGCCTGCTGTTGGCAGAGGTTCAGCCTGATGCTCACAGCATGAATTCCTAGGGAAGCCAGATCTTGGCACCAACAGTTTTTCTTACCTGTATCAGCTTAGTATGAAATAAAAAAACATGGTCTTGCCACTGAGCATTCAACAGCTCAAAGACCACAATAAGGACATTAGTTACAAGGCTTGGATCTCACCTGGACAGAAAAAGTCAAACAGTTTTTTCCCAACAGGAATGAATTACAGATATTTTTGTTTGCAATTCTGCCACACCACTGGGGGGAAAGATGCCTATGAAGGATGTCTGGCACCTTCTTTGGATGAAGTTCTTCACAGTTCTGTGTTGCAGGCTGTTGTTGAGATACAAAGAAAGTAATGCCTACCGACTGAGGTTGTATGCAGCATATTTTGATGTATTTGTAGTATTCACTTCATTTCTTGTTTCTTCATTGGAATTCTCTGCTTGGATATCTCGTAAAGCAACTTTAATCCCCATCTGCATGCCCTCACTCTTTCTGGCTCCATTATCTATTGCTAATTGTTTAGTTTTTGGTGGAAATAAGGAATTGGTGCTCTGATTCATGGGATTTAAAAAGATCTATAAAAGTAAACTCAAACACCAGCCACAAGCTGGAGCATCTTTCCTCAACCAGCAGAGACCATTTCAATAGACACACAAAGAGAAATGAAGGAACAATCTTCACACAGATGGTGGATTTTAAAGACACTTTCTCACTTATCAGTTTGTAAAAAGAAAAAAAAAAAGGAAACCATGGCATCTCTCTCTTTCTAATCTGACACCCAGATGACAGGATGCAGTTTCATGTTTATTTTTTCCTGCCTGTCTGTTTCATGTGTCAGCTGCAGCGTTTGGCCTTTGATATGAGCCTTAGATGTTGACACTGTGATGGAGAAATACTGGCTGAAGTCTGCACCACCTACATCATATCCTAAAAGAGAAGCTGTCAGCTGGTTTTATGTACTATTCACTGCATATGTGTGTGAGTGTATTGGTGGGTATGTCACTGTAAGTAATCTATATATTACTTGTCACATGCTACAAATCTGAAGGACTTTGCTTTCAACAGCTACATTACATTCAACAGCTACATTATGAGTTCCTCCTTACCTCTACACGTTGTCAATAGTCAGCCCTACATCAGTGACTATATTCTCCTCCTTTCTTGTGTTCGACTCTGCATATACAGGTCAACATAAGAGAAAAAAAAAAGCTGTTTGTGATTGTGATGCTTGGCATCCTATCATACATTGAGTGAAATGGATGGTTGCAGCACACAATAACAGTGAGCAAAATGTCCCGAAGGATAGCTAATCCTGTAGAATGACTTGGACCCACAGCAAACACAACCATAGCACTATCATTTAAAAGAGTTGTGTGTATGTAGTGTTTAGGCACATATATGGACAACACCTAAAAAATCGAATAATATCGTGTTTAATAAGAGTCTGTTTTGGGTGAAAGATTTTTCTGAATAGAGTAAAATAATGTTCTGTATGGAGTAGGGTATGGAATTGGAGTGGAGTGGAATTTAATTCTTTATTGAATGAATTATCATTCTGTTTTGAATTAACTATTATTATGTATAGAGTAAAATACATCACTAAATGGAGGAAAGTGACTCTAGAGTTACTTTAATTTAAAACAAACCAGAGTAAATTATTATCATGCAGAGTAAAATATGAACACTAAATAGAGTCAAAACAACTCTGTAAAATTTACTCAGTGGGATTTCACTCTATTTATACTGGGATCAAAATCTTTTTCAGAGTAAAATTTTCTTCAATTTGAGTAAAATTTACCCTGACAAATGAATTTATTCATTGTAACAAATATAAAGTGTCCATACTTTATTCTTGTGAGTACACTGAATTAAAAAAAATGCAAAAGTGGTCACTTTTATGAGTAAATTATAGGACGAAACATGTAAGCCTTACAGGACATGCTACGCATATAAAAAATAAATATTTAACATGCAGGCAGTAGATATTTTTAGTTTCCACATGGGTAAGCTGAGATCGATGCCCAAATCACAGAATCCACTTGATATACATCGACAACCCTGGTATTTACGCGATAGAGGAGTTGTAAAGAAATAGAGACTCCAGAAATGAAGTTAAGCAGCTGATTGTTAGCTCCCACACACTGCTAAGTTTGTTTAACTTTAAAACATGTTTGACCATAAAGAACTTCATGAGATTTCAAGATATAAGAGTCGGGAAAAGGAGCGTGTTGCACACAACACAAAACTAATTAATATATCATCAGTCATCATTCTGTGTGGGGACTCTGATGTTCTCAAAATCCGTCGAACACACAAATGCACACACCCACAATCTGAAGGCTGTATCGGAAATGTCAGGACTGGATGGTCTGTAATGGAGTGGAGCTTGTCATGAGTTCATGTGAGACGGGCTGAAGTCCAGCAGAAGTAAATGTAACTACAGCATGTTATCGATCCTAGGTCTGTAATACAGCACAGCTCTGCAGTAAATTTAGTGTAGGTCCTTGACAGTTCATCTCTTTATTGATGTTTTCCTCAAGAACACTCTCATCAAAGCCACGCTCCACCCTGATTTATTCTGGTGGAGCATCTTATCAAACTCCTAGAGTGCATGTTAAACATAGAGACCTTTACAATGCTTGACTGGAATCCACAGAAATTGAGGTAAGCTGATGAGAGGTGCGATTTTAATGAGTCAGGCTCTTTCATTTCAAAAGCATAGCTAGTTAAAATTTCAAATGCAGCTTTTCGTGCTGCTTTTGTGAGGTGTTGACTTTTCTCAGAGCTGTCATCACATCCCTACTTAAAGCTTAGAGGCCGTACTTGAATACTGATGGAGTGTTTCTCACTAGTACAAGCTATTCTATGACTTTTGCATATTAAATGTCATTACTCATTTTTTTCTCTCTTAAATAAACACTCCTTTACAGATACCCTCAGCAATGTTTTTTTCTGGTTCAAATGACAAAAGTACACACTTAATAAGACATCAAGTGACATTTTCAGAGCAAGGTAAAATAAAATAAAAAAACAATAAACTCTTTAAGTGTTCCTTTGATTGCTTTCTGTATAATAAAATGATGAACTACGGGAATAGCTTAAAGAATCCAACATTATTTTTCTTTACTTTGTCCTCCAGTGTCCTTTCCAGAGAATTCACTTTTGACAAGCCACAGTAGAAAAAGCACACAGGTGTGAATAACAAAATTAATGATGTTTAAATTAAACAATGGCTCACTGTCAAACTGTCAAGCCTTACAGGGACACTTAAACAGAACAGAGACATCGTTAACATTATTAATAACACCTGTGCTCTTTCTGCTATGACAAGTTAAAATGTCCATGCTTTAAAAGGCCTGTCTGGCACACCGTTACTGATAAATTAGAAGACAGCACGGTGATGCATTTCTTCTTGTTGTTGCCAAGATTTTGTATGTCCTGTTTGATGAAGTTGCAGAAGCTGATGCTCTGCCTTCACCGTGACAGGCATTCATCATTTATGAGACTCTCCATAATTCATGTCACATCATTTAGCATTATTAAGAAAAAGGACATGGCAGAAATTTGGGTTTCCAAGAAGGGAAAATGCAATAATCTCCTCAAAGTAAGAATTTCTTCTGGGTTTAAAAAAATTTCCTAAAATGAGCTTATCAGTTGTTATTTTTTTTTTTCTTTTGTTGTAACATCTTCAATTCAGATCTTTCAAATGCACTGGTTCATTTGACCTCAGCTCATGTTAAAGGGACATTCCGGCGTAAAATTGAGTAAGGGTCAAACATACTCTAACACTGAGTTAGACATCCTCTTGAGAGATGAATGTTGCTGACAGCTTGCTTTTCTAGTTATACCAACTTTAGTAACGACCGCACGATAAAAATACACAAACATTTATGATCATTTCTTTATGGAAAAGCAATCAGACCGAGACGCTAAGGCAGAAAGACTACCGCGTCTGCTATGCAAAATGATTATGATGATTATTACTTAAAGGAAAAGATAAAGCAATGATCATATATGTTCTTCCTTGAGCTGTGTGACTCTGCTGCACTTGGTGATCGACTCATCCAAGCTCTCCTTACAAACAAGCGGCTGCTGGAAGAGAGTAGGTGAGTTGTGTTTAGTCTCTTTGCTAAAGAAATCAGTCAAAGTTAAAAAGATGTTTGATGGCTAGTACTATGGCTGGGACCCTATATGTCCTGTTGATGAAGTTAGGTGCTGTTCTGAGCATTATTTGTGGCTATAGAGTGGCTTTTTGGTTGAGGTTTGCGCGTGGAGACTTAGAACGCTGTGTACTGCTATCATGCGGTTGTTACTAAAGTTGGTACAACTAGAGCACGAGTGGGCAATCATGTGCCATGGGGGGTTGAGAGGCTGCAGGTTTTCTTTCCAACCCAGAACTCCACCAGGTGATTTCACTGATTACCTTACCTCCAAGCAGAGCGCAGGGATGCATCAGTGAAACCACCTGGTGGAGTTTTGGGTTGGAAAGAAAACCTGCAGCCTCTCGGCCCCCCATGGCACATGATTGCCCACCCCTGAACCAGAGAATTAAGAAGTTGGCAACAGTCATCTCTTGAGGAGGTGTCTACCTTGGTGTTACAGTGTGTTTGACCCTAATTTAATTTTACGCAGGATTATCCCTTTAATGTTTGGTGTAGATTTGGTTGGTAGAAGACCTTCATTTACAGCAGAAACTTGGTTTCTAATGGAAGGAGAGGCACAGGTGGAGCTGATAGCATTACTAATGACTCTCTTCAATATAATTACCCAAATAAGTGCCATGACAGTGACCCATAATACAAGCTGTGTCCCAATTAAGGCATACCATCTTTTCAAGGACCAGCCTTTCAGCCTGCTAAGACGGCTCTGATTGGACTAAAATGAGACCGACATGAGGTAAGTTGTGGACCCAGGAGTAGAATTGCAAACAAACAGGTAAGTTCGAAACTTTAATTGAAAGCACAAACGCTAAACAACTTACAATCACTCTCACTGAAAGAAAAAAACAAACCAAACGACTGAGAGGATAAATGTCTCTAATTCTACTCAGAGATCAGGCTGAGGTTAAAAACTACAGACTTCTTCTCAGGGCAAAAAAACAATAACATTCTGGCAGCAGCCTTCTGCCAGCTCCCCACCAATAAAACCTGCTGATTGCTGATCTGCATCAGGTGCACTCAGCAAGAGCTCCATGATCAGTGAACACACAGGTGTGCTGCTTCTGTGGTCACCACTGGGGGAGGGGGAAACAAAAAACACACAGGCCAACAGGCCAACTAAGGTGGTCTTTACACGAGTACAAATTTGTAAGACAAACTATCGATCTGGTGATATTGACACACGGAGATGCGTATTTGTCCATGACTCCGCATCTTTTTTGAAAACGGGTCTGCAAGTGGATATCTGGGTATTCGTCTTTATGCCGTAGTTAAAATAAATAGAATAAAAAGAAAAAAAAGTCCGGAGAAGACGGTGACCTCATAGCACCCCTCCTCCTCTCTGCCCCCCAACCCACGTTGTCACACACACAGCAACAACAACAATGGCGGTAGCTGGGGTGATTTTGTTCTTGTTCCAGCAACTACAAATATTGCTACGACTTTTATAATTTGAGAACAACAGCAACACCAGCTACGGCAACAACAGCAACAAATGCTCATGCAGAGACGCAGCGTGTTACGTGTGCACAACTTGTTGTCGTGGAATCCACCTCGGAGCAGAACCAGACGGGCAACCCGAACCTGATTTTGCATTGTCATGTAAATGCACTAAGCGTATGTACAATACGATGTGTAAACAGAGATATATGTTTTGGTGCCAACGCCAAGACAATACGGGACCGTCCTCGTGTGAGGACCCTAGAAATCCAAATGACTTGAAATTATAATTTACTTTGCCACATGGAAGTCCCTCATCTAGTTTGAATGGACGTGCGATTAATCATGGGGTACGGTGGACCACAAAAGACTCATCCGAGTATCCTCTGTGGTCAATAAAAGTATAACTCATTTTTCAGCCACATTTGAGGTGTTCAAATGGGACTGCCTTTGACATGCTACTAGTATCAGTCTAGAAATGAGCCTCTTTTCCAGGCCCTGGGAGTGGCAAAATTGAGACTAATAAATGACACAGGATGTGCCTAGCTTCTCATTTTACTGCTGGGGTAGTTTAACTCGGTTGGAGACTTTTGATGGAAATGTCATTTCATTTAATATTTCTGTTACTCTAGCCACAGTATTTTTTTCACTTTTATTTATCATCGAATTTCTCTTTCGGGGATGAATAAAGTTCATCTTCTTTGACTTCTTGCATGGTTGTTGCTACATGTGTGGCTGTAGGCTTTTAAAATAAAAACAATATATCACAAGAGAATTTGAAAACCATAAAAATGTCACTAAAGATATTAAGCAGCCTGTTGCAACACTAATTTTTTTTTAACATTAGTACTACCTTTAACTAGCCCTACTTAAGAAGTTTAGGAAGCGCTTTGGCTGGCTGGTCAAGATTTAAGAGGGAGGACCATGCCGCTCCCTGGATATGCCGCTAACTCTGTGTGAGTTGTTCCTGTACTTTATCTGATAGGACAGATTAAAATGTCTGCCGTTAAAAAAAGGTCGGTATAGTGTGAAGAAATGGGAGTATTTAGTGAAATCTGGCCATCAGACTCTAAATAGACTGTGTTTAAATAGCGCTTTCTCATTGAGAGCAACATTCACTCATTTGCATTTTTTGTAAATGTTGAAAGGCGGTTCATAATGGATTAACAAAGGTCAAGTTAACTGCATCCTTTCATTGAGAGGGTAAATTTAACTAAAATTTCTTAAAACTCTAAACTTTTCACTGAGAAAATGAGGAGTTTGCATGGAGCTACTGGTATACAAATGCACACGTGCACACACACACACACACACACACTCATAAGTTGAATCACACTGAGAAGACAGCAGGTCACGTCAGAGATAGAGGACAAATCAGCAGTGTGCAGCTGGGGGTGTTATGGGCTTTTTTTGTACCCTTTGGAAATGGCATTTGGGGTTATCACAATGGCTGAGCAAAGTGCACATGTTTTTGTGCATGTAAATCCTTGTTTGTGCGTATGAGCCTGAGAACATACAGTACATGTGCAGCTTTTTGATAACGTTTCTGATGGATGCTGCTGTCACAGTATTCATGCTACAACTGCAGCATTTTTCTTTGCAGTTTGTTTTTGCTCCTTTTCTGGGACTGAAATATGAACTACAGTGTGTTGTGTAGATCTGCTTGTTTGGTAACATTAGGCTGTATTGAAGATATGATTACACAGCAGTCAAAAGGAATTACATGTGCTCTGACAGTAGGAGGTGTGCCTTTCAAATATGCATCAGTGACAACTGAATTACACCATAAATCAGGCCCTGACAGGGGCAGCTGCCATGTCACCAGAGGGAGGAGAGAAATAATAAATCTGTACAAAAAGGACGAGACAGGAGTCGAGGAGGAGGGGGCAACATGTGAGGCACATGACTTCATGTATGTTGTAACACTTCAGTAACAATAACAGAGATCATGACATCCACTGACTCTGTCATCATTCTCCTGCTGTTGATCATCCAACACGGTTGAAAACGTTTCCCTCCACCTGCCCACTTTCCATCCCATCTATCAATCCTCAAACTTATTAGCTGTCAAACACTGTGTGCTCTATCATTACAGCGGGTTTGGTTTTCTCTGTGGTTTTTGAAAAATGTAATCAGAAAATGCAGACCTTACTTTATTCCAGGTGATTAATTCAGCTACTGAAACTCATGTTAGGTTAGGTCCAGGATTTGCTGACTGATTGACTCCCTGTGGGCACGAGTGATTACAGTTTTTTCAATGTTTGCTCACTCTATCATACTCCAGGTCATGCTCTACACAGTTTATCATAGCTAGACCAACACAAATAGGTCAATAAATAAAACCTGGATGTGGACAGAAAAGAATGAGATGTTTCACTCAGTGATTGGACAACATCCAAAATGGCAATTAGGTAAATTAGCCTGAGTGCACTCTGCTCCAAAGTTGTTGTGACTTTTTGTGTAAGACAGTGACAAACACACACTTTTTTGTAGATTTTGGTTTAATTTCTTAGAAGTAAGGTAAAAAATATATCGAGATTAAGTTAACCTCTGGGAGTTTAAAAAGAAGGAACCTCCCTGAGGTATCTTCTACAAGCACTGGAAGCAGAAAAAGACTAATAGGACGAGCTACATAGCATCGTAAATCAAACACAACATGTGTTACGGATGGCTTTGGTTCAGTGGGACAGTTTAAGGGGTTCGGGGTTCTATCCCAAGTCCCGCTGTCCACATGCCTCAGTGTCTTTAGGCAAGATACTGACACCCAAGCAAGTATGATTATGGGATTAGCTGATGGGTACCTCATGCAGCAGTAAATTAAGCAACGGGTGTGTTGCATATGGGGTATTGTGACATGGGCTGTAAAAGTGCTTTGAGTGGTCAGAACACTGGAGAAGGCCCAGTGTAAATATGGTGCATTTTCTGTTGACCATTTCAAGTAGATATGAAGATGCTGTGGATCTGTGGGACATCCCCTTCAGGGATCAATAAAGTTCTTGTTAGATATTAGATCTTACATAGATCATCCGTTTTACAACACTGTGATGGACCAAAGGGCCTCTCACAGAAAGATTCAGAGGATCTCTCTCTCTCTCTCTCCATAGATACATATATGTCAAAATTTCCACCCTACCCACAGCAAAAGGCACACAAAATTTTTTGCAGGTCATATTACACCTTTAAGGGTTAAAAAACCCTTTTAGCACCTTTTAACTCCTTACTAACATGTTTTAAAGATTGTTACATCAAAAATGCTCATTGTCAGAGTATTTTTCCATGAAAACATCTACAAAAATAATCTTTATGGCCAAAATGAATATATTGACATGAAAAACACCCTCCTACAAAAATATTAAAGAGTAACACGAGCCAGTACCAGACTGTCCATTTGACCTTGTGGTTAAGTAGCTCGCCCTTTGAGACTATAATCCTCCAGCAGGCACAACAGGTAAGATTCACCTGCAGCCCCTCTCCTGCATGTCACTCCCCACTCTCCTGGTTTACTGCTCTTTTCATTGTCCTGTCCTCGCTAAATAACGGCACAAAAGCCTCAAAATGTTACGTAGCTTAGTAATATAACTTTGAAACTTGAAATTAAAAGATAGATAAATAATTAATGGCCAGAGCCCTCTGGTGCAAGTACAAGTGCATGTGCAATTTTTTTTCTTCTTCTGCGAGGAATGATGAAAAATGCTTTGTCGACAATATCTTTGAGCCTTTTTGATCATATAGCATATAGCTGGTTATGATTTTGCAAGGAAATAAAATGCAACGATTTTACATCTCAGCACAGCCCTCAATTCAATCCTACTAGGTCAAGAATATTTAGCATTTACCGAATTTAACCCTGATACTGGGAATCATCATCAGTTTGAAACTGCAAATATTTAAAGTCAGAGACATCATCCCCTGTGTAAACACTGCAGCTTCAGTGTTGTACACAGACAGGTTTTGTGTGCGTGTGTGTGTGTGTGTGTGTGTGTGTGTGTGTGTGTGTGTGTGTGTGTGTGTGTGTGTGTGTGTCTGGTGTAGAAAAACTTTATAAGCCTGTTTAGAGTTTTGACCTCCACCCCCTCAAACACATTTGGTACAGACATCACCTCTGCACCCCACGTCAGTTCCTGACCTCAGTAATGCGTTTCTGGCTGACACTGAGGCAAATGCTGTTTAAAGGCCTTCCCACACAGCTAAAGGCAGATTTAGCAGTATATTTATGCCCATTGTTATAGAGGGTGATTAAATCAATCACTTGATTTGTTGTGCTAAGGCTGTGTCATATTTTCTTGGCAAATTCCGGTCTACTTTCTCCTTTCCCTTCTGCCTCCACATGCATTATAATTACTGCAGTGGGGATTCACAATAGCAGAAAAAAACCAGGATGAATTGATGGCTTTAATCAATAGTCTTCTTCAGTGTCCTCAGCATTATATCCTGCCCAGAGCAGATGCTGCTTCTGTTGCCTGTGGGCCCCAGACAGAGCCGGGGGAATGTGGCTGAACACAAACACCATTAAATCCTCCTTCAATTCTTGTCTCATCTCCCCTTCCCTGTCTCCTTTCCTTCCACCTCTTCATTCTCTCATCCTCCTCCGTCCCATCCTCTCCAGTCCAGGTGGCGGATTGTGGAATCATATCCTCATTACTGGCCTGTCTATATGACGCCTTGCAGCACCCTGCAATCCACACAAGTGATAATTTCTCACAAACCACTGGGGAGGTAAAGGAGGAAGAGAAAGGAGTGAGGCTGCAGGCTTAATGCGCTCAATGTATCTTACATCTGTGCCTGTCACAGTTGCTCTGAAACAGACGGAGAGGAATAATCTGCATGCCACTTCTACAAAGCTGGGCAACAAACAAATTGCAGTGTGTAACAGATTACAGAAGCCATTTGGTGACATTATTTGTATGACAAAGCATGTTAGCTCGACAAAATAGGAGACCTAAAATGAGACTCAAAGCGACACATTGCATAATACCGAATTTGAAACACCAACCTCCAGCTTGCTCTGTAGGCAGAAATAAAGAAGAAAAAGGACAGAGAAAGCAGCATGAGGCCATAAAACACTGGTCATGTTGGATTAAAGAAAATCTACCCAGCCTGTTACGCTCTGACTCTACCCCACAAAGCCTGGAGGTGAATCTGGGATTCAGGGCTCCGGCTCTAAATGTTTGTCACTTCAATTAAAGTGAGGGTGGGTGGCCTGCTTACTTTGAACCAAACAGACCAATTGTCTCTGATCAATACTCTGAACAGGTACCTCATTGCAGCTCATATATAATCAATTTGCCACAGAGCATTACAGCTGAACTTCACCTCTATTGCTGTTACAAAACAAGCCTTCTACTCCTGTCACAGCGAGTGGGACCAACGTGGTAAATGAATTCTTCGCTGAATATTCCCCAACAGCAGCAGCTGCGCCGAGACACCATATGCCGGCTGCTTTGTACAAATGATGTTAGAGAGAGTGTGTGCAAGACAATAAATCATTGTTCATGAGGTTAAAGTGGAACTCCAAACAGAATTTATCTTTCTCACCTCTTGTATGTTTGAAAGCTGCTTGTTTGAAGAAGGCTTAATGTAAGGTGACAGAACACGCGGATGGAAATCTGTCAGAGGACTTTTCAAGGTGGTATAAACAAACTATAATATTCAAAATAACGTGTCCTACCTACCAATATCAGCTTATATGATCATAAAGTATTTCTAAATGCTGTTATATAGTTCACATATCTCCATACATCTATTTTTACTGTCTGTCCATTTCGCTCTCCCTGTGCTGGGTAACTGAGTCAGAGCAGAACCATTTCTCAAGCAGTATTGCATTTCTATACCCCGACTTATTGGGTATGAGCTGTGAAATATGATGAGTGTAAGACTATGAATAATCAAAATATATAGTCAGGCCCACAGTCAAAAAAAAAAAACATATATCTTGTGACAAATGGTCCTGGACTTTTACCACCTCTCTCTTCAAAACTTTACTACTCAATACTTCTGCGTTAATGCAATCATCTTATACCAAATGATGGGGAAGTTTACAGCCATTTGTTTTCACGAAGTTTTGATCCATTTCTTAATCTTTAATTAAAGTCTTTTCTTAATGTCATTGATAGTGATAGCTCTGAGCTGCTGTATTATTGCCTGTGTTAAATGGACTGTATTTATGGAGCTCTATCTCGGGTCCTGGCTCAGCTGTAGAGTGGAGAGGGTTCAACTAAAGTTCATACTGTCTGCTCCTACTGAGGTGATCTAAGACGAGACACTTGACCCCAAGCTGCCTCAGTCAAAACCGATGGACCTTTTACATAGAAGCCTCCATCATCAGTGTGTGTAATTACTTGATATCGAATGTAACACCATAATTACTTCATTTTTGATGACACACATAGACTGTATAAAGAATGGACGCCGTCTGTCTCTTCGCCGGGTGAAACCACCGCGAGAACAGCACCCTCTGGTGACGGGCTGCAGTATAGGTCATAAATCCTAAGACTGGTTTGTGCTCAAGTCCTCTTTTTTTGTAGTTATTTGGGGGTTCATGTTTTCTATGATTGACACTTGATACAGCCTATGGGCGTACGAAGATTGCCTACCTCACCCAGGGGATATGCTGTTTGAGCGTCATCGCAGCGACTCTCTCACTGAATACGTACAACGCTACTCTACAAGTGGTGGTTCAAAGAAGTGGAGAAAATCCTGGAAATACCGAGAGCAATTCGGCTTCAAATTCGTATAATGACGGAAGGCGGAGCCAAGTTGTCCATAGTATATACAGTCTATGATGACACACAACAACTGTTATATTATAGAGGTAACCGGTCCTCAATTCAAAGGTTTCCTTGTTGCACTTCTGCGTCTCTACGTTAAGTCAGAATGGACAAATTAGCAAGAACCAAGTGCATTTTGTTCTCATCTGGTGGTTAAATGTAGGAGAGCACAGGGCAGGAGGGGGAAGGGTGAAATAAGTTGTTGTTGTGTTCAAATGAATTTGTATTCAGAGAAGTTTTTAGTGTTAAAAAAAAAAACCTTGACAAATAGCGAGTCATATCTCTCATGAATCACAGGATGTGAATCAGAGTTTTTGTCCAAAACACCAAAAACATGAAGAAGTAAAAAGCTTTCAGGACAGGCAATGAAAGTAAGAATCAACGTCAGTGTTACTTTTCATAGACAGAACATCTTGATGAAAAAATTATGTTTGCACTGATTTGCACACAAACGGTAAAGATGGTGAAGTTGTAGGTTTTTTCTGTACAGGTAAGAAAACGCTAATTTGCTGAGAGTGACATCAGTTCACAGAAAGACTAAGCACAAATTATCTCAGTCGGAGCCGCTTTCAGGGGTACTGCTAATGTTTTGACAGAATAATGAGTCAACTCTCAAAACTCATTATTTTCTACATTTTCTCTGACAGTAGCATGACTCCTTATTCTGTAACTAACTTCAGGGTTTGCCACTGATTAGCAACAAGACGCTGTTTTGAGGGAGGTTGCCACATGTCTCCGCTTATTCCCCTCCGTCTTCTCAGAGTCCTGATACTAATAACAATGTGATCCTGAAGAGCCAAAACATGATCCTTGTTTTGACACAGACAGTGGCTGCTCACCGCGAACCAAAACTACGACTTGATCACAACTTTGTTCCTGTGTTAAATTCACTCTCGTTAAATCATGACTTTACTGTCTTTATTCTTTTGTAACAACACACCTTTATTTACCTACAGCTTCATTCATGTAATACAACCTTAAAGGAAAGGTTTTTGCTATGACTTACTGTTGATAGGAAAAGAATTTTACATATCAGAGCTTTTTTAATGTGTCCGTTATACTTGAGAAATGTTGCTTTGCTAATGTCAGCTTGTATTACTAAAACAATGAACAACTCATAATTGGTATCTTAAACTGAGCCATAACCTATAAAATAAAATCAGTGAAAACATTACCACCTTATTTCTTGAAACAGCTGAATTACTTGCATAATTGTTTTTTGTCCTTGACGGCCACCGTTGCCTCAGTATCAGGAGAGATTGGTGTGGAGGAGCTCTATTTTTTAATGTTACCACTCGATGTTGCAAATATCATCATTCTATATACTGCACTTTTAGGTGACAGTGTGGGAAACCAATGCAGACAACTAATTTGCATGGATGCACGAATTACCAAGTTCATCTGAATTTCCTGGACTTGTTTTGTTTTGTCTTGAACTTCAGTACGACAGCACTGACTGGTGTAATATATGCAATCCTATATTTTTCAATATGTTACGCTGTCTGTCCAGATTTAATAACAGAGTCCCATTCTCCTATCTCAGTACCGATGTCTGTTGTGCAGCTATTGAGCTTTAGATCAGGTCCTGAATTCAGCAACCAGCCATAAACATTTAGAAGAAGACAACAGAACCACTAATATCAATTCAGAGGTGCCCAGCGTATGAAATATGCCACAGTCCTGCTGTCAAACCCACTTTCTCTCTGTCTCTGTTAGATTTCCATTCCTTAAATTTCCAATCAGTTTAAGATCAAGAGTGAGATCCCTGCTGCACACTGACCATAGCTCACTCAGAGCTCCTAAAATGTCACAGATGTCATTAGCAGTGTGATGTGCAATCAGCGGTTGTCTTCTAAGAGCAACAATACATTTCCCTACATACCGTTCTGCTATCTGTCTCTATTCATCTGCTGGTCTATTTGTTTGTTGTCTCTTCGTGTTTCTTTGCTCTGGCTTTTTGCCTTCCTGCCTGTTGACTTCTTATATCCCTTTGCCTTTTCTCTAACTCTCTTTACTAACCATGCAGCTGAAAGCAGTTATGCAAATAGATATCAGTAATATAGCAAAACTGCAGGATAATTGCGCAGCACCTGCAAAGACCTGGAAACTTGTGCTGGACAACAAATTTCTCTTTGATTGAAATGTAAATGTTTTGGTTGCTTGTACAGTCACAAATATTTGCTGTGCTAAAATGTTTTAAACCTGCAGCTTAGAGTTGAAAACAGCCAGTCCAGGCCTCCCTGTAGCATATACATCCCAGAGCTGTGGTCAGGCTAAAATAGGCTTTACTCAGCACCAGTTTAATCCTGCTAAGAGCTGCTGTCTCACAGCATTTCAATTTTATCACAGGAAGAGGCCAAAGAGAAGGTTGATATAGTTGGGGGAATGTGCGGCTGATTGATAAATTGGTTTGGGTCTACAGCTATTGAATGTTTTAGTAATCAAGTATTCTACCAAACATTCTATCAATTAAAAACAGAATGTTTTTTGTCAAAGTGCAGTTATCACGGAACAATCGTAGAACAACTGTGTGCGTTAGTGGATTGCAATGCTCGTAAGAAAACTAATTATGATATTAACTTCCACCCTAAAGACATCAGTATCCGAGAGCTGAAGAGCTCCTATGTTACCTGCTTCTAGCTACAAGCTAGCTTGAAGAGGAGAGTGCAGAGCAGCGGTGTCTCCGCCCACGACTATAAGGCAAAAATCAGTTTTTCCGCTCCGCAAGTCCAAAACCGCGCCTACTCCTCCATCTGCCATGGTGAAGTAGGCACGTCGTGTCAGCTTGAAAATAATCAGTGCGAAACAGTGACAATTTGAGTTTATAGATGAGTACTCGAGGCAGAGAAAATTCCTCGATCATTTTTTGTAATCGAGGTACTTAAGGAATCGTTTCAGCCTACATTGATTATCTTTATGGTTGTGATGAAAAAGAAAAAAAATCTCTCTTTTGCCTAAAGTGTAATAGTAAAGCATCTAGTATCTTAAAAAAAAAAGAAAAATTATATATGTATATATATCTAAGAAGAATATAAGAGTACTAATCACATTCTGAATTGTGTATCTCTCTTGTGCTTTTTCTTCACAAACTTGCCATTCTCTGGAAAAACCGCCCCCTCAGGCGATGCTTCTAACCAACGCCCGGTTGCTGGTGGACTCAGCCTTGATGATTAGTCACCCTCATCTACGTTTGTGGATCATTTTCTCTCTGTATGCATGTAATTATTCCTCATTTGGAGACAGACACCAAAGCCTTGACGGTAGCGAAAGCCAGTTGATAAAGAGCTGAATATATCTTCCCAGGGATTTAATCAATGCATTGATCAGCTGCTCATACTGAGCACCTGAGATAAACAGCCTAAAGCTACCAGCTCAAAGCGTTTAATCTACGCTAGCCTTGCAAACACAATCCAAGTGGATTAGCGGGGTTTCATTAGAAAGGCCATTAATATTTATAAATTAATTTCACACATTGTTTAACCTGAGATGGTGAAAAAGGGCTGTCTCTTTGTGAAATAATCAGAGGAGCCCAGGAGGTTCATCAAGAATCAAACTAATCCTTGCAAATCCACCTGCCTCCCCACCAGGAACTGACTGACTCCTAAATAACAGTGACACCTGGAGCACAGACACATTTGTCCCTGTCGTTTCCTGTCCTGCTGCCACTCACAGACGCAGCTTGGGTTGCAAAACAGGTACACAAGCCAGGAAAGTCCCACAAGCACAATGACTGTTCCTGCAGGCCAACAGCAATATTTTATGTCTCTGTGCCAGAGGGCAGAGGCTCATTGTTCTCTGTTCTTCATTTTGTCCACCTCATACTTTTAATAACGATATATCATTAAAATCTAGAGGGCATTAATTAAAATCCTAACAAACATCTAATTTCTCCGAGGGCCAAAATATTTCAAGATATGACAATAATCCGACTCACGTAAAGTCTTGAGTGTATCCAAATATGGCGTCTTTAGGCAACTGGGGGGACAAAGGGTTGCACTGTGATCTACTCTGAGATGACAAACTGACAGCGCACAGAGGAAATCAGCCTGAAAGTTTGACAGCAGAGGGATTAATGGATCATTAAGGTAACAGCTAAATTTGATTGGTCTAATGTTTGAAATAATAAACAACCATGATCGGCTGATTGTTCAAGCAAAGACAGGAAGAGAGAGGGACGAAAAAACAATGTCGATAAGGCCGTCTTTCTGATTTCACTTACATAGTTTCATTTCATCCGGGGGTCAAAGGTTAAAGCTCATAGCCAATATAACCTCCTGGCTTTTCTTTTCTTGGTGACATGACAGCTCACGAACCCCTGAGAATTTTTCTCTTTATATGTCTGGCACAAACATCTGTTTCGAGGTCAGAGGTTAAAGGTTAAAAAAAAGACACTGCGTAGGAATTTAATTTTATAAATGTCGTGGAAATATCTGGAAGGAGAAGTCATAGATTTTGTTTAAAAAGGGGTCAAATGTCAACTTCACTTAGTCCCCAATGGACTGTAAAAAACAGAAATATGAAACCAAACTAAATATCAAAACATTTGTCACTCTCCTCCTGACTGTCTGCTGTAATGTTCATAAGATTCGTCTTCTCCATGTAAACAGATGATACATGGTTTAAATCTTAAAACTCTAATGAGGAGTTTTTTCTTTTTGTTAGGCTGTTTAAACTCAAATTCATATTGATGCTTTTTAATGACATAAAAGAGACAGCAAGACCATCAGTGATAAGACTGAGGACTTATACCCTTATTTTTATTGTCCGGTGCGTGAGTGTAGGTCTGAGCCTTGCTGCTAAAGAAACGGTCCTGTTTTTACAATGTCCTCATAAAATATTCACAATGAATGATGCATTTGACAGTAAAAAGTCAGCAGGGTGAGATTTGTTGTCATAAATCACTACTCGAGCACGAAGTGGACAAGGAAAGCAAAGACTGCTTTGTCCACCGGGGACGTCAAGATTGACAACCTTAATCCAAAAGTTCCTTACAGGAGTTTCAAGTTCATCAGGTACGTTTTTTTTGACAAAGTTTCCCTCATTCAGGGAGTATCCAGATTTTCATCTATGGCGGCTGAAACAGGACAATAAAAACTGGTATAATTTTTTGTACATGGGCCATCATATCTGTGAGGGTCCGTAAAACTATCCATGTTTGCAGGTTTTGTAATTGTGATAAACTAGAGGCAGGAATGTGGTGTCAGACTGAGCAGTCCTGAATAAAATGCGACACTATGGCTGCTGTCCGTGGTGCTGATCTTTGGAGGGCTTGGATTATAGCTGCGCCATGAGTCCTAATTCTAGCTTTTTTCATGATTTTTGAAGATATTTTTATTTATATGGTTATCTTTGGCTGCTGCACATCATATAAGGTTAATATAAAGCAGCTGAATAGTCAATTTCCTTTGCAACTTTACTCTTGCTCCTCTTGTTTCACTGCTGTCTCACTCTCTCTGGCTGAACCTCTGACTGCACACGGCTCAAGACAAATACACTAGAGAGAGAGGTAATGGAGCATTCAGTTGCAGATGATAAAAACATAACTCATTCTTTTCTGATTCTCCCAAAACAGAAGCAAGGGCAAGAAGCCAGACTCTGATGTCATTTCTCAGAGATGTTGTCTGATGAGATTATGTACGCTTCTGTTGTCACGATCCTAAGTGCTTTATTTCTTCATTAGCAAGATGTTATTGTGTGATCTCACAGCAGACTTTAAGTTATCTAGAAAACACTTTTTACATGTCAACGAATGAATAATACTATTAAAAATATCTGACGTTTCTCTAACTCTAATCACTGAATGCTTGATAAAAATTGCAGTAGGCAGTAAATGTGAAGTACACAACTGAAACTTAAGTGATGAAAATGTTTTTTTTAATTGTAAACACTGTCTACTGCACATAAATCAAACTGGGATAAACGTGTCCATCCCCAAAAGTCACTGGGTTTTTACCAAGGTCCAACCTCAAGAAAAGCCTAAAATGTCTTAATAACTTAATTTATTAAAATATCTTCACAATTTGGAGAGGAAGAGGAAGATAGACATAGGGGGGAGACGAATTCAATGTCTTATTAACTTCATCATGTGTGTCTGTTTACTAGATATCTAATTTAATATAATGCGGTTTCAGCTGTGTTGATTCGGTTAAGTTGAGTGTCCAAACACGTGCCAAACGCGCTCATCAGATCAGATAAGATCAGAATATATCCATAGATCTAAATGTATGTGCTGACTCAGAATATTGGTTGTTGATGATTATTTATTGCACTGAAATGTGCCTGACACTGTGGAAACCTGACAGTGAGGCATCAGTGACATATACCGATACGCCGCCGGTCTACCAAAATACCACTGGATCAGCTGTACTCCGCCTGCGCTGAAAGCTGACAAGGTTTGAATTGGCGAGCTTTCAGCGCACTTTCCACGCCGTCTGCGAGCACGAAAATGTCACTGCGCCAGCTGATTCTGTCGACACCTCCCCCTGCCGCGCCACCTCGCCCAGCTAGGCGGACCTTGGTGCACCTCAGTCTATGAAAATACCAAACTGGCTGTAGACTGGGCTCAGCCAGAAGAAAATACCACTGCGCGGGGTCCACCACCCTCCGCCATGCCATCGGCGAGCACGAAAATAGAGCCCATAGTTACCTACTCACCTAGCCATCTGAGTAGATACCAACCAACAGTGTATGCTACTGCACACATTCAACACAAAAGTATAAATCCAGCTCCCAACTGTGGACGCTGAGTGTTCAGGGCTAAAAGGGATAGGGAGCATCCAGCTTGTTACCACTGTGCATTTCAAAAGGCTTCATTAGTGCACATGACATGGGTAACTTCAACACCTATAACGGCACTTTAAATGCTGAAATATAATGTACCAACTTAGGACCAAGAAACAGCTTTCCTGTGATAGACTTGCTTGTTTCAGTCCGATCACATTCTGCAAGTGTTGCAGCAGAATGGTTCCTCAGTGGGACTCCAAGAGTCATATCTGACTGCCTTCACTTACTATTTGTCACCCATTTAAAGTTTGGCACATTATAAAACGTGAAATATGACGAAAAAGATCCTGAACTGTAGAGCTGCTGAAACCCCCCATCAAGCAGGAATGGGTAAACCTCTCTGACAGCACTGGTCTCTTCAGTTACTTCCCGAGTTGTTGTTGTTGAGGAGATGATGAAACAGGGTGATAAACATGATCATATCCAAACTTTGTTCAAACATGTGGCTGGCATCAGATTGAAAAAGACTCAAGGGGGGTGTCAATTTATGAGGACATGTTTTTTTTTAATAGGGTTGGAATTTGTGATAACCTTGAGAAAGTTTTTAAACTCATTTTTGTGTTGTTAGGCAGTATCAGTGGATGTGAGTGCTGAGTGGGTGAGGAATGCCAATCATTGTTGCCTCCAGCATCAAAGTGGTTGAGCTGACCCTGCATATTGTGGTGAGTTAGGTTTGAACAAAATAAACACCTTCGAGCACACACGAGTTAATAAAAACAACTGCTTTTCTGGCAGGACTTCACATCCTTCACTCTGTTGTCACCAGTGATTTCTGACATGTTGAATAATACATGACAAGCCTTGACAAACCTAAAGCTGAGGGTTTGCAATTTTTTAGCAGTGCTGCCATGTGTGGAAGGATGCAAAAGGTTACAGATTTCACTGCTGAGACTTGGAGGATTTAAATTTTATCCCCTTAGAGGCAAATCTATCTAATATGACAGTTTAATCCGCTTAGAGACGTTTAAACTGCGATCAAAGAAAGGACTTCAACATTCAAAGTTTTCATCTGCCTTTGCCAATGGTGCCTTCTTAACTGTTAACAGAAAGCATAACGACAACAGTAAATTGTTTTTCTCTTCTTAAGTACATACATAAGAGAAGCATTATGTTTCCTTGTACTTGATTTTGTTCGATATCTCCAGGTAAGCCATATTTTGTCTCTGACAAGAAGCACCGATCAGATAGCCAAACCTTATATTGTGTGAAGGACTTTTGACTGGATTACCTGACACCTGAAGACAATAACAGAACTACTTTTCAAAAGCTCAAGATTCCAGTAATGAGTTTAAACACGTTGTGAGACTGTTACTGATGGCAGAGAGCAGAATCTGGGCTGGATATGCACTTTATTTTTTTTTTCATCTGGACTTAGGACTGGGCGACATAAAAAAAAAGATCACGATTTATTTTGTCATATAATCCTCAATTATTATCACCTTTTTTATTTTTTTTAACTGCAAGTTTTAAAGCATCTGTACTAAAAACTAAAGAAATCAGAGATTAGTTCAACATATTATTACCACACAAAGTAAATAACGAAGAAAACTGAATAAGATAAACTTAGAAAAATATAAAAAACATTTTAACTCAACGGTACAACAAATGTGGTTAAATACTAAAATATATAGTGAACTAGTTGGCAGTCCTAGTTGTGGCTAAACTGCTACTGCTACTTGTGCCTTCAGCAGTTGCAGGCTGTGCAGACTTCGCTCGTATTTTCATGCTTTCTGCATAATTACTTCTTCTGATGATTAAACAGATCTGTTGTGTTGCCAGTTTTTGAGGGCACTGACCACCAACATACCTTGCACATTGGCTTCACTGCTCAATGTCACTTTGGAGATACCCAAACCACCGCCACTCAACCGTCGTTGAATAACTTTTCTTCTCCTCAGAGGATGACTCAAATTATTGGCTGACATCTATTTTGCTGCCCTCAGCTCCACGATTAGAGCCATGTTCAGTCATTCTGTTTATTCCCCTGTTTTCTTCTCTGGCAACTTAGAGAAGTGAGCAGGAAAAGCTCGACTCTGATTGGCTATTTTCCCGCACATTTCCGCTCTGTTTGATCAAGTAAATATGCTCACAGCTGATCACCGTGATTGAACTGAAATATATCACGATCATACAATCACCCAGGCCTATCCAGATTTAAAACTACAACTTCTCAAACCAGCTTGTCAAATTAGAGACAGAACTTTCCTTAAGTGAATCTGGCATCTCTGATTCTACAAATTTGTAACCCACAAAATTATAAGAGCTGTACAAGAGCTACAGTATATTCACGGACAAACCCACGTGAAGCAGCACTTGGTGTAAAAAATAAGTAAATAAATGAAAAACACACTTCTGCTGCCTACGGCTGTGTTTAATGAATAAACGGGAGACTTGTAAACGTAGGACAGAATACAATTATTTTCTTCGTCTCATGTTTGAAACACTTTAAAATCCTTTGTTTTAATGAGATAAGGTGACTAATTAAATCCATCACATTCACCGCCACATCTTTATCCTACTGGGGGATTTTATCTGAAAGGGGGATAAAAGACGAATACCTGAACTAAAGAGGAGACTGTGTACAAGGATTCTTACAAGCTCTTAGTTCAGCACCTCTTTATATGCTATGTAAGTGTATATCCTTATTGTACATTAAATGTTGTTGCCATTTGACCCGAACTGACCACTGGGAGAGAAAACAGCAGCTATTCTCCTCCAGGCGAGACTGTGATTACCGTCTTTGACTCACTTTTTTATCCTCTTGACTTGCTACACCCGCAAGCAAGACCAGGCACAAGGGCGAGTGTAAGTGTTACCTGCATACAAAAGATGAGTGCTGCTTGAAAAGGCCGTGAGTGGAGGACCTCTTCGCTTTAAATACAAAATGAAGGCGATCCCACGCTCACCCTTGTTGATGCTGGAAATGTCTTGGGAAATTATTTCTCAAAAAAATCAATATCTTCAATAAGTTTGATACTGTGTGGGTCGGTGAATATGTTTGCAGTGATGTGTACATGCCATAAGTCTGACTACCACTCTTGGCATTAAATTAGAAAAAGTTTCATTTGACCAGTTGCCAAAGAGTTATACAACAGCTTTCAGTGAACAATGCCTATTAAACAAATAGACCTATTAAATCTGTCTTTTTATCCAAGTACAGGTCAAAGACGTCTTTGAAAAGACACACCAAGCAACAGGTTTATTATGTGGCGTTTTTTTTTTTTTCCAGATTGCTTCCCACACTTCAATCAGACACTATCCCCCTGACATGGAGCTGATGTTTTCAATCAAAAACTCATGTGGGAGTTTTTTTAAACAACCGCAGAAAACAAATACCCAAAACAACAGCGCAGTTTTCAGCCTGACTACGCCAGAGTCTCAAGATTAATGCACTACCCACACACACTAGAGCAGCAGGCATATGTTCACAAGTTTACTCGTACTTCATTAGTCTTCATCTGACTCAAACAGGCCGTGTGAAAGCTTTTCATGGATGCAAACAGTAAAGGCCTGCATCTCATTTGCAAAAGGACCCCACATGCCAGCATACATAATTAATGAATGGACCTCTTTGTTGGTTATTTTCAGACTGAGAGGACTGCAGCAGAAAACCACACTGTTGCTACTTTCATCCAAATTGTGTTGGTGCATGATTTGGATGAGAAGCATGTTAACATTAAACATATCCAGGGGGAAAATAATGGAATTAAACATGGGCTGGATTCATCATGTTGAAGGTTGGTTTTAGTTTCTGATGGGCGTCATTTTTTTCTGTGTTTCTCTCCCTCTGAGATTCTTGCACCAACGTGACTTTTCATCAGTGAATTACATGTAAAGTCAGCGTAATCTGTCTATTAGACTCGAGCTCTTGACTCTAATTGAGTGAGACACTTGAGAAGGTTGAAAATCTGAACTCAAGTAGATCTTTGCACGGCTATAACCAATCTGGAGGTTCCCTGGTGACATATGTCAAAAACAGACTGGCGGAGGCTCATCTGGAAAACAGAGGACAAACTGGTTGCTATGGCACGTGGCTACCTAAGCTTTATGACAGAACTTGTTTTTAATATTGAGACAGGAATAAAGGAGGGGTCGCCTGGAGGAAAGTGAGCGAAGAGGTAGGTGGTCTAAACAACAGCTCCTCACAATGAAAAAAAAACAAGGATGGAGGGGGTACAAACAAAATAAAAGTCTTCCTACAAATATTAGGAAGACTTTTATTTTGGAAATGATTGTTGCTGAGAGCTCTCTTATGTGTCTAAAAAAACAGCAGAGCTCTTAATTAAAGGTGGGGTAGTCAGGATCTGAGGAGGTGCAGGTTTTTAGGAGAACTCTTGAATGTAAACACTACCCCTCCCAACCAGTTTTCACCTCAGCTCCTCCTCTCCCCTCCATCTCTGCTCCAGCAAGCCCCGCCCACAAACAGATGCTGTCGCTCGCTCGTATGGTTTCCACAACATTCAGATAAAATGCAGATAAATACTTTAAATGATTACAAATGGGGCCCAGTCAATGCGAATGTAAAAAGCATTGGTGCTACTGTAGACGCCAACAGACGACCAGCAAACACAATGTTTGCAGGACTTCTACAACTAGGATAAAGTGACATAGTCCAGGACCCGAGGTCAACAGTTTAGCGGCGCTACAACACGCTACAGCAGGTCCGTTTGACAAGAAACACTTCTGTTACAGACACTTGGCTTACTTTGTTAAAGCAATTTACCTGTCCTGCAGAAAGGTTACAGGGTCCGTAAGATCCTGAAGCATCCCCCATCGTTTATGTTTAGGCTTCTAAGCTCTTGTCCGGTCTATCTCTGTATTAAGCGCCCGTTATTCCGCCAGAATCTCAGGTATTAACTTTGTTTTATTGCTTGTGTTTCCATACTTTCTGGTTGGTTTCTACTGTCCGATATTGTAGCACGCCAACTTTGTTTGGGTTAGGAGTTATTGGAGGACGTGGAGTGTGCCTCACAACATGAGGAAGCCTCACAACCAATCAGGTTGGGGGAGGCGGAGAATGGCTTTGTTTACAGCCAGAAAGAGCAGGCCACTTAAAAATTTAAAATGTGAACTACATAGACATAACAAAACATAGTGATATTGTTATATTACTAAATATAATCAATAACAAAAAAAAAAACAAAAAAAAAAACATCTTAAACAAAATCCTACCAACCCCACCTTTAAAAATGGACAATTTCATGTTCAGAAGTTCTTCGACACAACCCCCTTTTATTTTATCCATCTGTGTTGTCTTGTCCAAAATACTGTTTAAAACTCCTATATTTCTTTCCTGACAGAGCTGTGAACTATCTTAAATCTTACTTTTAAGGGCATTGAATTGCCAACAAAATGCCAAGCGTCCAGCAGAGAGATGGAGTTCATGAATTTTTCATGTATTCCCTAATGTCAGACGTTCTCCCTGCTGAAGAGATTTGATCTTCACCGTCCAGGAAAATGCTGCGATTAATTCTTTATCTCTGCTCACTGTTACATGAACCTACTTGTTTGGATCAGGAAACAGAAGAAGTATTTTTCGATTCCAGCTGAAACACCCCCTGAGACACACTGCCCCTGACCGTTCACGGTTCACTGTATATTTGGGGGATGCTTTATCTGAGAATGAACTCCATGTCTGTGCACCGAAGGAACGGTTGGTTTCTCGCCAAGTTTGGTTTCAGTCAAACAATTAAGTGAATGTGGCTGCAGACAAAACAAGAGCACATCAAGCAGTGAACAGAACTAGATTGTGATCAAATCCAGGCGTTATTGGAAATATCAATCATGTTCAAATGATGGGAAATTGTTCTGACACTGCATCAGAAAAGGAAGAACAACAACAACCGTGATCCTGCTAAAAATAAAGTGTACAACTCCAGCCCTTATGTACAGTCTTTCATTAATCTGATGAAATATGTACATGGTCAAGCATCTATTCTGTCTGTCAGGAGCTGAGGAGTAAAAACATTTTCTCAGAGTTAAGGTCGTTATACACTGATGAACCAGCAAAGCAACAGCAGCAAATAAAATTTGCATATTCACATGAAAATATGCCACGAGAGAACAGGGGGAGAGAGAAGAAGGAGAAACAATGGTGACTACATCCTCAAGTGATCATGACCTGGTCATGGTTGTAAGCCTATGAAATAAGAAAAAGAAGAATCGAAGTGTCATCAAATACTGACAGGAGTCCACACAATGATCCAGGAGCTTAAATTGTATCCTGAGATATTCTAACAATACTTCTGAATGTCCCTCGCACAATCTTAAGAACTGCTCCATCAGCTGACTCCATGTTTGCAGAAAGAGAGGACAAATTACAGAGAGCCGATTGGTCCAGAGCAACTGTTGCCACATGTCTGAGGTAAGATTTATATTAGTCTATAGATTTATGTAGCAGTTCGCCTGCGAATGTTCGCAAAATTTGGGGCGAAAAAATTAGTTGCTTTTTTGTTCTGTGGAAGTTCGTGTGGAAGCTTGCATTGACTTAAGATTTTTAAAAAGAGTTATTCACTTTGCAAATTTGCTGCGCTAATTCGCCAGTGTGCAATGACTTTTAAGCTACAAAAATGCCACCTGGTTACGCACCACTCCGAGGCTAACATAGATGTTTCTGCTTGGTTCTTGTGCATATTGTTAATTCACGAGTGTGCAGCACCATTAGATTTCAGTACAAAAAGAGGATTATTTATCCGTGTAGACGAACTTCTTTATGTGTTTGCTGCCAAATTCAGAGAATAATTCTGTTATAGTTGGACACCTGTGGCTCAGAGCAAGTATATAGAAAAGGTCATTATCTATTATTCATGCTTAAGAATTGAAGAGAAATATATGCTCATCTGGAGACAACTTCTCTTCTCTGTTCTCTTGGTTACGGCTACAATTCATCACTGAAAGCACCAGGGAGACAAATCATGAATTATTGAGCCTTTCTCGAGCACAGCGCACCCTCCCATCTGTGTTTTTGAGTTGATATCATCGAACAAAACATGAGGATGATAAAGAAACCCCTAAAGCAAAATAAACACGTTTATTGTCTCGCAAAGAAAAAGTCAAGAGATAAAAGTTCAGACTCAAAAAGAGTAGTGCTGTTGATGGTTCCTTTTTTTTCTTGTCATAAAGTTGTACCTGAGCTCCAGCCGCACTGTGTTGTGTCACCTATGAAAAATTGCCTCAAAGGTTGCCTTCAAGGATCAGAAGCACTTTGCTCCAGGGGGTTTGCAAGTCGGCTTATGTAAAAGTACATGTTGGCCCTATTTTAGTCCAGCTAATGACAAAGATCTCACATGTTCAACTTCTCAAAGTTATGGCTGCTAACTCAAGGGGAAAGCTTTAAGCTTTAAGACACCAGCAAGTATAAAATAAAGGTAATTATTAGTATTTGGAAACAAACTTGCACAGGTTCACCAACAAAGAGCCTCTTCTCAAACTCCTGCCAGTTGAGAAACTATGAAAAAACATTAAAAAAATGTCCAACAACTCAACAAAATCGGCACCAGAAAGTAATCAAAGAAAACCTAAACTGATCGTGAGTATAACATGATGGTGGTAATATATGTAGTTTTTCTTGTAAACGTGTTTAATTTGGGCTTTCTATATTATTGTTTGATGCCTTTTTTAAAATAGTTCTTTAAATGTGTATTTTATGGTATTAGGGGTTAAAATACATTTTCAAAAAAATAGGCCCCACCCACTTTGTTTGTAAAATGCTGACAAAAACCTCAGGCTGTTTGTTGGACTATAAGAAGTTAGATCAATGTGTTTACATGTATTTTAATTGTCTAGTTTTAATCAGAATATTTTGATAAATCAATTTTTTAGTTTATATATAATATATATATAAACATACCGACTTGAGAAAAAAAGGACATGTGATCTATTTAAGGTGGATTTCAGACACCCTTTAAATGTATACTTAATTTATCGAAATAAAAATCATGGCATCTGGTCTTAGAATTAAGGAAAAGCAACTGGTAAACTGCAAGCCTCATAGTGCATGGTAAACAGAGTATATGCTCTGTGTTCTTAAAACACCCACACACAATTACAAGTTTAATGCAGATAATGACACGACTGCAAATCGATTGGTGTCAAGTCCTTTTAACGAACTCTGAGAATATTTAAGAATATAAAATGTAAAATGGTGCATATCGACTGCAACAAAACATAAAGTATTTTACTATATTTATGCCTCTGACAAGGAGTTGTATTGGACTGAGGATGTAAAATACAGAAAAGCCATTCTTGCACACTGTCCAAGTCCTGTCCAACCTACAGGTTTGGCCACTGTGCTGGTGTTATTCTCAAGACAGAGTAAGCATTTCCAAACCCCTCGGGAGCAAGATTATGCCAGCAGTGCTGGAAGGGATGAGTTCCTCCAGCTCAAACTACATCCACTACCCTCACATGAATCCATGCCAAGCGCTCATTAAACTGGCAGTATAAGTAAACACCTTTCCACAACTTTTAAAATGATCAGAAGGGTTCATCATTTGGCCTTTCTAAACTGTGTTTTCCTCTGGCCTGCTGGACTTCTTCAACATGCAGAACAGCTCTGTGGGAGTTCACCGCCTGCAACGAGGAGATTAGTAACATTTGATGAGATTTGCAAGATGGTAATTATACTGCTGCTAGGACAAGTGCAGCTTTTAAAAAAATATCTCATCTGTCGGTGGTCAAGGTTATCAGTACAGCTCTTGACTTCTCGCCATAAATGATATGAACCTTTCCACTAAAGAGTATCGGTAAAACAAACCTTTTTATCCAACATCCCTGAGTATAAAGATCAGTCCTATCGTTCGTTTACTTCAAGGATATTTCAAATACATATTTCTGTTCTCTCAAATTGAAGTCCACGTTTATCTGGTTATAGATATTAGTTCTGTTTGGGGACTTATTTTTCTTTCCCCTGATGATTTTTCTCGTCGGCAGTAAAGACCATGTTCCACAGTTTGTTTACACCAGTCTTACTTGTTGAGTTGTATCAGGGGTAAACAGCATCCTTGGACTCTCATTTGATAAATGGATGTTTTTGCTGCCCTTCTCTCAGTGTCTGTGTTTAAGAAATCTTGAAGAATGTAGAGAGCAAACGGAAAATACTAAGACTTAAGTAAACTTCGTCAACTTTGTTGAGTTCATGAAAGAGAGAAAGTTGTTCTCCTCTTATGGAGGCTGGTACTTATTACAAGTTGTTTTTACAAAAGTGATGAGCTCTTGCAGGGGCAGGCTTGGGGTGGCACAGGTCCTCCCTGATTGGCCAGAGTGCCACCTAGGGCTGGGCGATAAAACGATAACGATAAATCTCGAAAATTAATTTCCCTCAATATCAAGACAAAACATGTCAGTATGCAAAAGACATGCTACCAACAAGCACTGTTAAATTTCTTTTTTTACATCCTGATATCAATATTGACTGATATGAAAAAAATATAGCGCGATAAACTTTTTCCCGTATCTCCGTGCCCTAGTGCCGCCTATTAAAATACAGTATTATTGACTCTCTGTTCTGTCAAATTCAGGACGTAGCTCTGAACCAGCTTTCTGAGTTTGTAAATTTTTCTAGACCTTTCTTTAAAATTCACAACAAGAATGATGTTTCAACATAAATGCAACAATAGTTGTTGGTGTGTGGTCTGACATACTCTTGCCTCATCATAAATCTATGCCCTTGTCCCGGGTCATCACAGTGAAAAAAAAATCTGGACATGCCTCTGTTCATTAGGGTGAATCTCACTGTGTTGTAGATGATAGATCCATGCAGACTAAGGGTCTAATGATAGGATAACAGGGGGGACTCAGGTAAAAGACAGCTTCATAAACAAACCCACCAAGATCAAATGAAAGAGGATTTTCCTAAACAGAGTTATAGAGATTAAAAAATGTCTATTTCTTTGCCAGTAAAAATGAAGATGATGTTTTCTTTAAAGAGCAACAACCTTTCACTTGAGAGTGTTGATACTTGGCAAGTGATCAAAAACTGTTTTAGTGCAGGTAAATAGACATTTGGAGAAAAATCTGAAGCAAGTTCTTTAACACAGAATGATAAAGACAAAGGTTCTGACTTCTGCGGTGAAGAGTTACGGCCGAAATTGAATTTCTGTCACTGAGAGATGAAGAATGTTTGCCAGAAAGAGGGCTGGTGTCAAAGATGAAAACTGCTGACATCCTTTCTGTAACTTTATATCATTTTAGTTAGTATTGTAAAAATAAAATACATTTACGTTGGCAAACTTTTTCCTGAATGTTGACATTCTAGTTTTTGTTGTTTTATTAATTCTAGTTGACAAAATCGTTGCAAACAGCACACTCAGATATAACCCATTTAGCTCTTTTCATTAGAAATGCTGCCTCTGACAATCATGGTTTGGAATTGCAGGGAATTTAGGTGGCCGATCAGTTTTCAGGGATGACCACGGTCACCCCTTGAAACCCCCTGGCTCTACCTCTGCAGATCCCACGCCTCATCAGGTCAGGACAGGTCAGTGCTGTATTGAACCTCATCTGATGAGCAGAGGCCTACAGGTGAACCAATTTAAAGACTGGTTAAATGAAAATCTGTCTTTATCAAGATTTGCAAGAGCAGGTGATGAAAGAGTGTGTTTACGTGATGGTGGTTGGGATAAAAAGCAGAAATGTCTGCATGTGGGAGCTAAAATCTTCTGCAGCTAAATATTTCATCCCTAAGGTTATTCTCTGCAGAGCCTCATTCAGATGACAGAGTCACGACAGCTCCTTCTATACCACTCCATATTCCCACTAAAATAGAGGCTTTTTTGGCAGGAGCAAATGAAATGACTAACTCCACTGGATATTGGCCATTTTCAGCGGACCTTTAACTGGCACAGTTATTACTTTCATTAAGCTTGCTCATCTGCTAAGCTCCGGCTGAAAATCCTGGCCTTCAATCCCCTCACTTCAGATCTATTCACAAGAGGCTGGATGGCATTGTTATGAAATGGAACAATTTCCTATAAGTATGCTTTATTACTGTGTCTACATCCTGTTATGACTCCCACCTGTCCTCTCAGGAAAGTCATTTATTTCAGAGAGAGAACGTCCACCATTTCACAGAATTAAAATGACCTCATCCTCTTAGCGCGCTGTAAATCTACCATCTATAAAGAAAGGCCCTCTTCAACCAAACAGACCCTCTTTGGTTTTATTGCACTAACAGACTAATTTCACATCCTGCGGGAAACATAGCAGGAGTTGTTGGGAGTCAATGTCCTCCTTGTATTTTTATGAAATTTGGCTTTATCTGTTTTTCCCACACTCACACCTTGACACCTCCTCTCCCACTATCATGTTGTCCATGAGTATCGGTAATGAAGTAATTGAATTAAGCTTCAATTAGAAAATCCCCCCTGTGTTAATTGCTTTGATAAGTAGTGAATGAGATAAGCTCCTTAATGAACTGTTACATTATTGGGCTTTTGCAGTGTTAATTAAAAGGGAGTTTTCTAACATGACTGGATGACTAAATATCAGAGTGGTAACATCCTGTTGATTATTACAGTTTTTACCTGCCACACTATAGATGACAGAAAATCTACGATAATTTATCATAAAGAAAAAAAAAAAACCCGTCAATGCTGAGAGCTTCCATAACAGGAAAAAATATTCTGAAGCTGTCTGATATTGACCTCAAGCAAGACCACTTCTTCTTTCAACAGGAAGCCTGCACCACTTTTTTTTTGGAAACCTTGAAATGCTTTTAGTGTAGTAATTAAAATCCCACTGTCCATTCAAACTTTTCTGAAAACAGGAAAAGTTAAATGAAATGTCATCCACTGACGTCCAGACTCAGAAAAATCCGGCCACCAGAGGTTGACGCTGGCTTCTGTTCCTGTTTCCAGATAAGTAAAGAAAACTCTGACATCCCCAGACTCCCTGAATCCCTCGGCGGATTTGGTGTCTGATTTCAGCTTGTTTCGTCTCCAGCTGACTGCGAGTGAGCTCCAGAGGGAAGCGTCACCCCAGGGGGGATTTGGCTGACAGGGGGGGACAGAGGCTGAAGAATCTCCAGGCTGTTGTCTGGACTCTGGGTACATGTCAGTTCATGAAATTATGGGTATTGGTTGTTCAAATAATTGTTCATTTCCCTTGCTGTTTTGAATCTTACTCTCTTGAGAGCTCTATCAGTACTTTCATTCATCTATTTTTATAAACTGTAATTTCATCTTCTTTTAACTGAGTTAGCCCAGTGGTGAAGTTTGCACCCATATGAGAAGAATTATATATACAGTGGCAACAACTCTAAACATGAGCTGGGAGGTTTGCATGTTTTTCCAATGAAGGTGGAATTAAAAAAGGAAAACTGACTTCTGCAAGAATGTTACTGTTGAGTAAATAAAGCAAAAACAGATGCACCATGCCAAAAATAAAAGGGGAAGATTTGACCAGCATCCTTTGTGCAAGTACACTTACTCAGTGGCAAGTAACTCATACAACCTCACTATAAAAATACTGAAATATCCCTTTATGCAAGTATGGTCAAGTCATGTAAAGTGATGTGAGAAATTATGATGAAAAAATGATTAAATGTGACAATGAGATAAAAAAATTCATGATTATAACATTTTATTCAGACTTTAATGAATAAAATTTTAAGTTTTTATCTCATAAATTTGACTAGCTTGTTGCAACAAACCTTCCCCATGGATATGACTTTCTCATCACTGTAATATTTTATTATAATGTTGACTTAAGAAGAGTTGTGGTACAGTTTTTAGATGCTCTTAATTTTGCAGATGCTACCTAAAGTGGGTTACATAACAAATGCATAAATATGCCTCTCTCTTAAATGTAGCAATCATAATCATAATTTCAAGTCTCATACTAAAGGGAGCATTTTTTCATCTATGCTTAGTCTTATTTTATCATTCATTTTTAACTGGCAGAAAAAAAATGGTGAATAAACTTCATATATTTCTACCACATGCAAAACATAGAGTAGAGGTCGGAGGTCTGGACCTGATTCCAGAGCAGCATGTGCAGTATAATCTGGGATTTAAATCCTGGATTTCACTCAAATGGGAGTCCTGACTATGTAAATAAACTCTGTTATAAAGGCAGCAATGTTATATATTCCTCTGACTAAATATTTGCTGTTACAAATTAGTACCAAAGCAGGAGACAAAATTGGTGGGAAGTGTTTACCGCTGTCTGAAACAATGGATTCATCAGTAATTTCCAGCAGTTGGGTACTGAGGAGGACATTAGGGGGGTTCTTTTGTTTTTTATTTATTCATTTATTTTTCTGTCTTTTTATACTAATTTACATGAAAATACTGCTTTTGTCTTTTAATTTCCCTTCTGTTTATTGTAGCAGACCTTGAATTAAACAAAGAAACAAATTAGAGACAGTAATTAAAACAGCTAAAATATGAAGCTCTAATAAAAAATGACAGAAAACAAACCAAAAAAATTGCTGTTTTATTTATTTATTTATTTTTCCTGATGAAGGTGATTTTCTGGTGAAATTGTTAATGTTACAAAATGGTGCAACTCTAGACAGGAAACTCAAAACATCGTCTTGCTCGTGACTTTGAGCCACACCAATCGAATCAGATTCCCTGAACTCCAAAAGTGTGTGTCAATTAGTACTTAACGCAGCCTGCTGAAACAATCACTTAAATAAAAATAATAACAGCCATTAGTGCCTGCTGATCCATGAGTGTTTGTGCTCTCATTACGGGCGTCTATTCATCCCTGTGACAGCTGTGGAGGATGTTTACTGACCTGAGATTTGTTATGGAGAACAATCGCAACCATAAAATTAGTCCAGGACTGCTTACTGTGATTGATTGGTGATAGATGTTCAACCAGAGAGAGCTGCTGATTCCCTTTACCTAACTTGTGAGATTCATCTTTAATGACCTGTTTTTGTGGGAGCTATAATTAAAATTCAAGAGTAACTTCATTTTTAACTGCAATTTTGAAAAGCTGTCATATTTGTGAAGGACTCCAGAGCTACGAGAGTCTGGTCTATGTCACTTCGCCACAGACAAGAGTTATATTCAGCTTTTAGAGTAACAGCTTTATGTTACTCAAACAAAACTCCTTTCAACTGAAGTACTGCACAAGGCAAAACAAGAAAAAAAGAGATATGGCTCATACAATATTGAGTGGCTTTTCTCACTATTTCCCCTCTCCCTCCTTTTAGCCTTTAGCCCTTTTTTGATTCCTCCCCTCGTCTGTCTTCATGCCACCCATGTGCACAATGGAAAGGCTTTCAAGCATGTGTCAATAAGTCCCAATCTCTGCAACAGCACTCTGTGGAGTACAAAAACTGTGTGAAAAAGTGTCCAAGTTGTAAGTCTGGTTTGCCGGTTTTGATTGCACTAAAAGAGAAGTTGTACCATAGTAAAACAAAAATATCACACCCACTTTCTCTTGTTTTCAGCCGGCTCCTCGGTGAGCAAAGCTTCCCTGCTGCCATTTTCTGCTCTGAAGTCTCGACGGTAACCCTGCTTTTTCTTTACATTTGGGAACAAACTAAGCAGTCCCACATACAGTTCTTTGGTTTATTAACACATCCCACTCACTATACATCAAGAGCTTAGTTGCGTGTTTCTCCAAGTTCCTCCTACACTGATTTGTTTGCACTATGCACTGTATTTTAGTCATTATATAGCAGCTACATTAATCAAATGCCTTAATCCTCTCAGCTCTATTTTGTTCAAGCGTGTTTTCAGCATGTAAAATCAGACAGGATTTGAAAATGTATATATATAAAAATAATCAGGAACACTTTATAATGACCATCATTTTTAAACAGTAAAATGAAGATAGTTTACTTTAGCAGAAAGTGGTTTTACAGTTAAGAATCAGCAGAATGATAATCATGTTCACTGATTCAAGGACATGTTTTCAGTTAAAACTCAGATTCTTAACATTTTAGTTTTTCTAAAGTTGTAGAAAATTCATCTCCTCCTTAGAGGCCCTTATGAAAGGTTTTTACTTCCAATTCAGACCTTTACTTAATTATGTCATAGATCGACTTTTAACAGCTGAAATATCCTCACAAATGTCCAATCCTCACCTACCAACACTAGGCCTAAAATCGAACCTGTAAACATCAGAGATATTCCCTCTTCTCCTGTCATACCATCCCTTTAAGTGCTGCTTGGGAAACCAAACAGTAAACAAGGGTGATTTAACCATCAACGGAAATACTCCTGAGCTCCACCTCTCTGACAACAAGAAGCCCATGAGCCTGGTTCATCCTTGACAAGGTTCCTCCTGTCACCATTATCAAGGATGCAGTATCAACAGCCATGTGCGTTACTCTCGCTATTTGAGCTGCAACGTATTGTTTAAGGCCTCAGGATTCTTTGTCAGCTAAAAAATAGAGAGAGAAAGACGTAGATGTCAATGATCGACATTTCCATTGACTTTGACCTTTGTCTTCTTTTCGAGAAGAGTTTGCCCATGACAGTACTGAATAAAACATTGTTTTTTAAAGCATATTATATTATCAGTTTCAACATTTTTAGGGCCAAAATAACAAAGTACAAAAGAAAGCTAAAATATTGTGCTTGAATAAAGAAAATAATCACAACATCTCCCATTTTGCACAGGCAGGAGCAGTGGGTTTCACTTCTGAAAGCCTCGAAATCTTACTTAATCAATTTCATGGGGTTAACAGAGCCACATGCAGGATAAAGACACAACCATACAACCTTTAATCAAGTGAGGGTACATCTGTCAACCTGCTGAAAATCAATTTATGCCCTAAGGTGGTGTTTCAACACCAGAAGGGTCAGCCATTGTTCTGCTGCCCATCAGCCAAATTAAAGACACGTTGTTGGATTATATTGCCAGCAATCGCTTAAGTCCATAAAGTGCAAGACCCTGTGGTATATCTGATCAGAAATTCATTTATTTCAGTAAATCTACTCCTGTTGACTTTTTGTTGTTTGTTAAGGACGAGCAAGTCGGGGGCACAAGCTTCATTTCATGCATCTTTGTCACAATTTGGCGTCGGGTGCATCACTAACAACCAGAGATAAGTAAATTGGCACAACTCTGATCCTCGTGTGTATTCACTTGGAAAAGACAGACAAAAACATCATCATTAAAAAATATTTTTAAAGAGGCTGCCTCCGTCCAGAGGACCATTCATTCTTATCACTGACTGACCACTGAATATTGTTAAAGTTTGGTTGCATTTCGGAATTTAACTCTATTTTCTGGCTCAAAATGATCATAGTTTAGGGTGACCATATTCTAAATCCCCCAAAAGAAGACACTACTACACAGGGCGGGTCAGGCCAAGTGTATTTTACATGCTTTTAACTCAGTTAGTCCACGCTACACAAACTCAGAACTTCCATACAAAACCCTGGACATTTAACAACTCTCTGGACAGCCCCCCCAAAAGAGCACACGTCCAGGTAAAAGAGGACATATGGTCACCCATATTTAGCTTCAAATCATAGTTATAATAGAGAGAAACCATCCTTGAAATCATGGATTGACATCAGCTGCATCTTTGCCCTAACAGTCAGGTCAGGATACACGCTGTTTAACTCAATTGCCCTTGGTCATCTGAAACCTCTTGGCTGGGTCGCTACCTCAGAAAAGCTAAGTGTAAATGAAATCTGGTCGTTGAAACCTTCTTGAGCTGTGTTTTGAGAGGACTTGTGGCCAAACACGTCACACACACTCCGCACACATACTTATTATGTACATCCATTTACTCCCAAGTGGCTGGTAAAAAGACCACTAAACTGTGACTGCATCGCCTGTCCCCTGTAATAATGGTAATTCACAATAGAGTAACACTGGCTGTGCCGGCTATCACTTGGAAAACACCGATAAGCATCTTCAGCATTTCCAATATGTTCTTCAACAAAGTGCACCATGCTGTTGTGTTCTTATCTCAGATCTGTTCAGTCCCTGCATGATGTGGATTGTTGTGAAAGGCACCTGTGTGAGCTCATATTTAGCTCCCTGCAGGTTTTTTACTGAAGCTGACAATAATAAGAAACATACATCGTTCATTATAATGCTATCCAGTACACAACCACCACCCAGTACAACTTGTACATTAAGTTATGGACATTAGGTTCAGGTTACTTTATTAATACACAAAGGTAGATTTGTTCTGCAGTGAAATAAAGTGATGACGTCCATTTATACAAGGTACAGTACAAATATAAAACAACCATAAAACAGAACACATGATAAAAGCACCCCAAGGCTCCCCAGTCAGGACACAAGAGAGGGAGAAAAACGTCAATACATAAAGAAATGCGAATAAACAACCTCTGGATACGAACCAAGGTAAAAACAAGTTTAAAACCAACATAAATAAGTAAGTAAATAATACCTCCGCAGTATGTACTTATTGTGCAAAAAAAAAATCTCTACATCTTGTTCACTTCAATAATAGCAGCAGGAACAAAGCTGTTTCTGTAACGTTTGGTTCTGCATTTGGGGACTAGAAACCTCCATCCAGAGGAAAGAAGCTGGAACTCGCTGTGTAAAGGGTGGGAGTCGTCATTGAGAATAGAGAAAGCTATCTTCTGTAACTGTTCGATGTACAGGGATTGCATAATGTATCAAAAAAATAATTCAGAAAGAGTTTTGAATTCAAAAAATGTGGTCAATATTTCTACAGACTGAGTTAAATCAATAAGCTGCAGTTAAAATGTAGATTCTGAATTTTCTACATGTCTAAATTTACTTGTCAGTCACCTATTTCTGGCACAGACACAATCTTTTGCGCCCTTTGCCTCTGGCGCCATAAACGCCCCGTCATTCCCGACTGGCGCGGGGCTCTCTCTCGCGGCCTGAGTGTGCCCGTGCCGGGAGTGCGCACTCGTTCCCGGCGGAGCGAGGCTCCTTTAAACTGTTTAACTGTTTCCCCGCACCTGTGTCCCACAGTCCTGCACTCCTACCAACCGTTTCCTTTTTAACCTGGACTTATTTCTCTGCTCTGGAGGCGTTTGAGGACGCACACTCAACTACAACACGCCACACACACACACGCACGCACACACTTACCTGCTGCCATCTTCCGAGCCAAACCGGAGCACTTCCTGGTCCCACGGTAAATAGCACAAGGTAGCGTGCTTTTGGGGGTCATGTGACCACCGGACCAAACTATTATAGTTAATTTGTGGTATTTTTGTCTGATTTAATGTGTTCTCAGTGATTAAGATCACAGTTGTATGGAGGCCCATTAGTGCCTTTTTGTCCATGTTGAAATGTCTGATTTATTGATGAATTTTGTGTTGTATTTTGTAGTTTGTATCTTAAACCCCTATAATTTGTTTATGGATGTGTCCAGGGGAGGGGCTAAGGGGTATTTAAACAGCGCTTTGCCCACTCTGAGGGGAGTTCTTGGCCTAGTGGCATCATGGATTACAAGTGAACAAGTTTAAGTCCGTCTGAAAACCTGCTGTAAGTGCCTAATTTATTTGTATATTTTTTAGTTTTGTTTCCTGCACTGTAAATATTTTTGCTACTGTTTGCTGTTTTTGGAGAGTTGGTGTGAATAAAAACCCACCACACGGGAGTTTGGACTGTGCCAAACAAACCTGTGACAGCCTCCATTGACTCTTGTTGTAAAGTTGCACATGCTCGCTCCCTTTTCTTAATACAGAAGCTGGTTAGGATGCATGACTATTAGAATGTGACCAAGCATTCGTCTGTGACCGAAGTTCACTCCTGATTACAGTTACAAGTAGTAACTTTCTAAAAATTTAATTCACCACTGTTGTGATTGTAAAGGACTTGTTAATCACTATTTATGATCAAAAAGCCACCGACTGGACCAGATTAAGCAGTATTTTACTGTTGTTCCCCCTCTGTGGACTCACTAGCAGTGGGAAAATATGTCAAAGGGAAAGCTAAGTCTGTCACATAGTAATTTTGGATCCATTTCTATAAATCCAAATCAGAACAAGAACAGCAGAGCTGCAGATGATAATGGGGACGGGAGATGCTGATCCATCGGCCCGATGACGCGCCATCTCCATCAGGTTGAGGATCACGACTCCGACGGTGAACCGGCCTGCAGAGTGGTTGGACAGAGAAGCAGGTGGGTGATTGAAAATAATGAAAAGATCTATAGATACAGGACAGCTAAACTTTACAACAGGTGGCAGGAAGAGGACATTTATGTAGACATAAATGGACCCCCAGTGGACACTTTTCTCCGGTACTGTTCTTGAGATCCTGGATTAAAACAGGGCGAGTGTGTAGAGTGCAGTGTGTATTTTTTGCTGGGTTTGAAGCATTGGTGTCAGTGTTAGCCTTAGTGAGGTGTGCATACGGCTGTGTCAATGCAAACTGTGTATTCAAACCGAGGTCAAAAGAAGTAGAGTTCCATTTTCAAGTCACTGAATTACTTTATAAAGCAGTTACTAAGTACTTATGTCATTTTTGAAAGGCGTTAAGTCGCTTAAAAATGATGCAGTTTGAGGGAGAAGGTCGTTGCTGGCTGAGAGTTCAATGGCTTTGACCTGATCGTCTGTACATTCAAACTAAACAAAGGGAAAAACAGACATTTTAAAACCCTAAGATAGTTCCAAGAAAGAGCTTTAAAAAACAAACTCACAAGGGTTCATGTGGAAAATGTTCATTCAACTTGGCAAATAAATGTTTAAGTGCCCTTGGTTCATTTCACAGAGCTGTATTATCTGTTGTTGCACCACTGCTGTCTAACGGTGCCAACAGAACTTGGATATGCAGAACTTTTTAGGCTTTCCAAAGTAGAATTAATGGTGGAGCATTAGATTTTCCAGGTGTTCATAATGCTGTGGCTGGTCAGTTTTAATGTGAAGCTAATGTCTGGATTTGTAGAATGACTGTCTACCTACTTTGGCACTGAACCACTTTTTCAGCCAACATTTTATCATTCTGGGACTCTGTGAATGACTTACCTTAACAGATTAAGAGGGCTAATTTTGAGTCTGATCCTGGTTCACAAAATGTGTTTAAAAAAAAGCGGTTTTGGTACGGTTGATCTAGAATATGTTGAGGCGTATAAATATTTGCGTTTCTTTCTTGATGGGCATTGGCTGCTTTGTTGATTCTGCAAAACTTTGGGTTCAGAAAGTCCGTGAGGACCATGAATTGACTCAACGTTTTGATGTATGTGTATCACAGAGATATTGAACGATGCTGAAGGGGTGAGGAGTTTTAAAAAAACCTCTGGTAATGTTGATAGTGCACAAAACAGAGCTGTACTGTGTTTTCTCCATAGATTTACTCCTATCCCAGCAATTTGGGGAGACTTGGGCTGGGTTCAAGGGTTTGTATAGAAAATGTGAAGTGTTAGGATAGTGGAATCTGCAAACCAAAATGACAGAGGACAGAAAATATCAAAGTGTTTATGCGAAGCAAAACACATAACTCTCCATGGACGAATTCTATTTGATCTTTGAGGAGGTGAGTAGGATTTACATTTACAGGAATAATCTGTGCTGTAGTGTTTACTCCATAAAAGAAAAGCTCAGGCTGAAGAAAAAATGGTTTGAAAATGTAAAAGCAAAACTGAGGACAAGTGTGCAAATAAAACATGATTTTAACCCTGAGCTATAGATGTATCTTATTCATCTAGAAGCAAAAGATCTTTGGTCATTCAGGTGAGATCTAGTATTCCTTCTCTGAACACTGAAGTTAGTCAGAACAAAATTACTCCTTATGAAAACAGACTGTGATTTAGATGAAATGGAAACAGTTTTATTAGTTTTTTCCTGAGAAAGTTATTGTTTTATGAAGTTGCTTGCCAAGAGCCTGAAATAATTTGGTGGCCTGATGAGCAAAACATGGATATGCTGTTTAAATTTTATGTTTGAAGTTTGTCTCAAAGGCTTGATGGCCTCCTTAATTAGTTAATATCTATGAATCAGTGTTTTTTTGTTTAGTTTTCTTCCTATATTAAAGAGGAGGAAGAAAGAGATTGACCTGTTATGCCCTCTGAACCTGAAGGGTTTGAACTCCAGAGGCCTGTACCATAAAGTTGGAAAGTTGGAGCAGGTTATATTTCAGGATAAGATCTCAGTGGGTATAAAAGACCGCACACTGATCAAGTGAATCTCTTGGAAGATGGCTTGCCTACTTTTGCCTGATCCTGTGGACATCTGTGCACAGATAGTGAGAGGAGCGCTTCGCCGAGAGAGTTATATTTGTGATCGTTCAAATCTGTTTGATTTACCTGATGATGTTCTCTATGAATGTTACAAGTTTTCGTCAGACGGCCTCAATATTCAGGTAGCATGAAGTCTAAGCGATGCACTAATATTAGTTCCAGCTTCATGTGGCATATCAGTCATCATTTAGAATTTATTGAAGCAGGTTAGAAAACTCCTCCGACGGAGATCCAGTGAAGTTGAGCGGGTTGTGGCAGAGTTATCCTGGATGTGTTAAAAGTGTGTGTGTGTGTGTGTGTGTGTGTGTGTGTGTGTGTGTGTGTGTGTGTGTGTGTGTGTGTGTGTGTGTGTGTGTGTGTGTGTGTGTGTGTGTGTGTGTGTGTGTGTGTGTGTGTGTGTGTGTGTGTGTGTGTGTGTGTGTGTGTGACGATAGAAAACCACTTTAATTGACTACCAAATTTGAATTTCTACTATGTTTTGGAAATGAGATTGTATGACAGATATAATTTCCCAAACACTAAATCGTACAGACCTTGCAGGTGTCACAGTGTGTGCCATGCCTCGAGTTTTTCCCTTTTATTATGTGTGTGTTGTGTGTTTGTTGTGTGTGGCGTGTGTATATGATGCCTGGCACTGCTGGTTCTCGGCTCCCTGATTGCTGTTGATCACTCACACCTGCCTTCCATTAAGCTCATTGCTCTGCAGTAAATCTACTGCAGCTCTCTGCTCACTCATCACCTGATTGTCTAACTGCTGCTGTTTATTCTTACGCTCCAGGCCACCTTTGTACTGTGTTTGTTTTTGTACTTCTGAGTCACTGGTGCTCTTTGTGACATTTAAACTTTTTTTCTCTCTTTTCTGGATCACATTTAATCAGCCTGCCTGTTTATCTGCCTGCACGCCAATTAAAGCTTGTAGTTGGGGCTGGCTGAGGCCTGGACCTGTCCTTGGATGGGCTGCTTTAGGCCTTGAATATCCACCTCCCTCTGTTTAAAATAAATAAATAAATAACATACACATCATTGTTTTGAATGAAATTCCATCCAGGCCGTTGAGTTCTGTTATTAGTATGCCAGACCTTAAGTTGGTAGTATTTGCCAGAAAGTTGGACCCAGTCTATCTCAGAGGAAGCTTTTTCTCTACGTCACTTCTGCAGGCATGAAACACTTCTCAAAGGATCCATGCTGTCCACTACCTGACATAAACAAGGGCGCATATATGACTTTTATTTGTTAGTTGTCGCAGACAGTGATGTTTAGGAACATAAAACTCTATGTCTGTGTTCACGCTCAAAAGTTAAACCGGAGTTTAACAAAATCTTCACCTATCTGAGTTTTTATCATGTCATCCTGCGGTTTCGTGTGGATGACAGGCTGAATCGTACAAAATATATTAATTTTAGCAGATACTCAGCTATGTGTGGACAAGGTGTTGAACTCAGGCTGGATCTCAAAGGACTTGTATGATATTTCCTGAGCCCTCGATTGAACTGGAAGCAGTTACAGTCAGACCACGATGAGGGACATCCTTAAGTGGTAGTGGAGATACACAAAAGCAGTTTTGTTGCTGGTAGACATGCCCTTGTGTTAGATATCACTTACTGATTAGATGCTGCAGTGGATCGGACCTCACTGAACCTTCACAACATCACCAGAGCTTCAAAACAGATAAGGAATAGACCTTAAAACTAATCTTAAAACTTAGTCAATGGATGTCTTGTCATATGCCTATGTCTGCATACACTACAATTATTATTGTATATTGTAAACATGAATCTTGGAGCTAATCAACATCTTACGTCCTTACTCTGTGTTACTATCAGAACCATCAGTGAAATTTAATATTTTGCTGTTTTCTTTAAAAATCCTCAAAATTCAATCAAATTACAACCCTTTTTTGTACAAACAGAAGTTGAAACTTACAATAACAGGCCTTAAAGCCAA